ACCCTGTCCATGCCGCCTGCGCAGCTCCCAGCCGGCCTACCAGCCTTCTGCCCTCTCTGCCCTCCCCACTAGCCCACCCCCCAAATCACTTTCTTGCTCCCTATCTGGTCCTAGACAGCAGGGGAACTGGTCCCTCATGTTATCTGCAAAGCATGTTTTTTTTTTTTTTAATTGTTTCCATCTTTTTAAGCCACTTTTAGTCAAAGGAACTTTCCTGGTTTCCTATTTGTGAAAATGAACTCCATTAGGTCTTATTTTTCCATTTCTGTGTTACTAATCCTTTTGCTTGTCAGTTCATCTTGCAGTTACTTTTTAGAATCAGTCATTTTATGTAAAGCAGATCCATCTCAAATGAGCCATAAACTTCTAAACATACCAGCCAAGCTTCCAACACATTTCATATTTCTCTTCCACAGGGTCAGCACATGTCCGTCATCTACCATGAGCCAAATCACCCCCGGCCAGACCGGCTGCATCATGGGCGAGTGCAGATGGTGGAGGTAAGGGAAAAGTGAATGTGAAGTGGTTCTTTCTTTTGTCTTTTTTTTTCGGTCACGCTGCAGAGCATGTGGGATCTTGGTTCCCTGACCGGGGCTCGAACTTGTACCCCTTGCCCTGGAAACTGTGCAGATTAACCACTGGACCACCAAGGAAGTCCCTGAAACGGTTCTTGATGAACTTTTCTGTCCTATGACTTAGTTCTTTCAAAGAGTTGGTTTTTCTTTTTGCTTATTTTATGAATTTAAAATATTAATTTTATTTATGTAAATATAATTTAGATATATAAATTAAAATTAGAAATTATATGAAGTATACAGAGCTCCAACCTCACAGGGCTTTGTTTGCACTATCTTTATGGCACTTAAACAGGAGACCGTCCTGTCTCCTGTTTTACAGTTAAGTGTCCTTATCTTATAAACTCCATGCGTCTGTCATGCTCCGATATAGCTCACATTTGTCCTCAGGATTCCCTCAGTGCCTGGAACCTGGTGACTGTCCAACAAGTGTGCTTGGGGTGAATAAATAGAAAAGTCACAAGCACATCTAATACCAAGAGAAATAAGAATAATATAGCTAAGTAAAGGAAAGCTTATCAAATTGTGTGTGTGTGCTTGCTAAGTCCCTTCAGTCATGTCCAACTCTTTGTGACCCCATGGACTGTAACCTGGCAGGCTCTTCTATCCATGGGATTCTCCAGGCAAGAATACTGGAGTGGGTTGCCATGCCCTCCTCCAGGGGATCTTCCCGACCCAGGGATGGAACCCACATCTCTTATGTCTCCTGCATTGGCAGGTGGGTTCTTTACCTCTAGTGCCACCTGGGGAGCCCTATCAAATTATAGAACATTGTATTACACCTACTTGGTTACAACTATTCCTTTAAACAGTGTTCCAATTATATTATTAAATTTGTCCAGGGATTTCCTTGGTGGTGTACTGGCCAAGACCTCCAGCTCCCAATGCGGGGGTGGGGTGGGGGCACAGGTTCAATCCCTGGTCAGGGAGCTAGATTCCACATGCTGCAACTAAGAGTTCAGAAGGTGCAGCTAAAAGTCCCATATGAGGAAACAAAGATGGAAGATCTGAGTGCCACAAATAAGACATGGCACAGGAAAATAGAGAATTAAATAAAAATACTTAAATATGTCCAATGAGAATTGTTAAATATATCCTCAAGGGGATACCTTTTCAAGTACCTTAAACTTGCAGACATGCTGTAACATTTCTGTACTGGTCCATCCATATAGTGGAATACCATTTGACAATAAATAGAACAGAAAGTATTGGTAGCTTCCACAGTGTGGATAAAACCCCAAAATATTATGCTGAAGGAAGAAGCAAGACACAAAAATCCACATATTATATGTCTCTGTTTATATGAGAGATGTTATGCCGCAAAAATGGTGAAGAACCTCTCCCAATTTTTCCTTCACAAAAGCAGTGAGAAAACTGGCAAATGTGGTCGGAATCAACTAGTTTAGAATTCTTGACAATTAACCAAAGGCTAGCAGTAATCTGAAAAGCATTTATTGCAGAAAAAAAAAAAAAGCCTGAATCTTTTGCCACTAAATACTACAGTACTACGTGATCTGCAGTTGGTCGAATTGATGAATTTGAAGACACAGATGTGGAGAGTGGACTGGGAAGATTTTTGCAGATTTTTGACTCCCAGAGGGTTGTCACCCCTAATACCTGCTTTGTTCAAGGGTGAACTCTATATTCCAAATAATTGGAAATAGGGTTTTGAAGATATTTGCACAATCATGTTCACTATAACACTGTTCACAATAGCAAAAAGGTGTAAGTAAGTGAGATGTCTATTGACAGCCGACGGGATGAAGAAAATGTGGCACATACACACTGGAATGTTGCTGCTGCTGCTGCTAAGTCGCTTCAGTCGTGTCTGACTCTGTGCGACCCCATAGACGGCAGCCCACCAGGCTCCCCTGTCCCTGGGATTCTCCAGGCAAGAACACTGGAGTGGGTTCCCATTTCCCTCTCCAATGCATGAAGGTGAAAAGAAAGTGAAGTTGCTCAGTCGTGTCCGACTTTTCGCGACCCCATGGACTGCAGCCCACCAGGCTCCTCCATCCATGGGATTTGCCAAGCAAGAGTACTGGAGTGGGTTGCCATTGCCTTCTCCGCACTGGAATGTTATTCAGCCTTAAAAAGAAGAAAGTTCTGTCATATGCTAGAACATGAATGAAATTTGAGCACATTCCACCAAGTGAAATAAGCAAGTCATGAAGAGGTAACTACTGTGTGATTCCACTAATACGAGGCATTTAAAGGCCTCAAATTCATAGAAACAGAAAGAAGAATGGTGGTTGCCAGGGGCTAGGGGAGGAGGAAATGGCAGTTATTGCTTAATAGGTGCTGAGTTTCAGTTTTGCAGGATGACAAAGTCCGAGAGATCTGTTGCACAATCCCCGTGAATATAGCTAACACTCCTGTACACTAGGCTTCCATGGCGGCTCAGGAGGTGAGGAATCTGCCTGCAATGCAGGAGACCAGGGTTCAATCCCTAGGTCAGGAAGATCCCCTGGAGCAGGGACTGGCTGCCCACTCTGGTATTATTGCCTGGAGAACTCCGTGGACAGAGGAGCCTGGTGGGCTACAGTCACAGGGCCGCGAAGAGTCGGACTCGAGTGACTTAGCACGCATGCGCGCAGAGCGTTGAGTAGAGTTCCCTGTGTTAGACAGCAGGCTCTCACTAGTTATCTAGTTATACATAGTAATGTTTAGTTTAGCCATGATAAACTAGGGAACTGGGGAACACTTTATTATGTATACACTACATACTATAAACTATGTAGTGTATACATAGTAAACTAGGGAAGCCTGGCTTACTACAGTCCATGGGGTTGCAAAGAGTTGGACACAACTGAATGACTGAACAGCAGTGTGTATATGTCAGTTCCAATCTCCCAGTTTATCCCACCTTCCCCTCTTGGTAACCATCAGTTTGTTACTCTGCACCTGATGCGTTTTCAGTGTCTCTTGTTGGGTTCCTTCTGGCTGGCTGTCTCTGCAGTCCCTGGGACTGAGTTCGCCTCTCTGCGTTCACATGTAGGGAAACTTCAGACATGCCAGTAGCCATGCCCCCGTGTCCCGGGAGGAGCTGATGACCGTGCTGTCTAGCCTGCGAGGTGTGCACCTCCGGGGCCTCTACTTCACCGAGACGCAGCGGCTCACCCTGAGCGGGGTGGGCCTGGAGGAAGCCTCGGAAACAGGAAGTGGCCGTCGAGCACAGAGCGTGGAGATGTGTGCCTGCCCCCCTGACTACACAGGCGACTCATGTCAGGTAGGAGCTGCCCCTCAACCGTCAAATGCCCTGGAGGGCCCCTTTGGCTGGCGCTCCTGTCTGCTGTCCAGCCCTCGGACCATCAAACAAGTTTCTGCTGGGTTTCTAGCGTCTTATCTTACCTGGACCACCTGCAGGTATTAAAAGTGAAAAAAAAAAATCACTTGTCTCAAAACCCATCAGAAAGCATTAGGAGCACAGTGGATCCTGGGAGTTGCAGAAATCCGGACTTTCTGGGAAGCAGGAAGAAGTAACTGTGCACCTCCCAATATGTGAGCCACTGCCTTCCCAGGAGCTGACGCAGGGTCCTCTTGCCTTTCCTTAATCCAGGGCCTCCTTCCAGCACCCATCCCCCAAAAGTTATAGTCCAGAAAATGTCCTGATTCTTCAGGGGAAATTTCAGCCCAAGTTTCCAGCTCACAGCAGATCCTCAGTGGAGACCCAGTCAACTTGACTGTCCTCGGTGTGGTATAACATGAAACTATTTCATATCTCAAGCTGCAAATATTTCCTCTTCCTGAAGAGAGGGAAAGAAAGCAAAGTGGGTGGTATGGTGAATAGGAAATAGCAAACACTGTCATCTTGCGATTCCAGACACCTGTCGGATATGGAATTAGCAACCTCCTTTACTTTCCCTGCTGACCCCTGGATTGCAGAAAACCCTAAAGGTGATCTGCACATTGGTTCTTTTTTTAACCTGCAGGTATAATATTTTTGCAGATTAAAATGCGATCTGTTTTGCAGGTTAAAATATAATATACTCACTGTGGTTTTCTCGGGATTCCTGCCAGGTAACTTTTAGTCCGCAAGTGCCTCCGTTCTTTGTCCCCCTGCCTTCTCTGTCTTTTCTAGCCCGATTAAGTGAAATTCCTAGCCCAAGGGAAAGAGAGGGACCTCTGGCTCACCACCCTCCTGCCCAGGGCGTGTTCTAGGCGCATGACTCAGCCTGTGATTTACAGCTTCGAGTGCCGTCTCGGGGTGAGGTGGGTAGAAGGTGATGCCTGCCCCACCTGCCGGGAATTACAGAGTGCGCGCTTCCCCGCGGGACTGTTATGCGCGCTCTCTCCCAGGCTGACTCACGGGTGAAGTTTACAGGTGGGGCCTCCTGCCGCAGACAGCCTGCCTTCTACCTGAGTCAGCCCGGCCTGGGCAGCGAGCAGGAAGGGCAGGTATAAGAGGAGGAGGCAGAGGTCTGCGTGCAGCCAGCAGGACTCCCAGGGACCATGATGCCCCCGGCAGTGAGGTGGTCTGCCCGGAGCGCGGGATGGCTGTGGATCTTTGGGGCAGCCCTGGGGCAGTGTCTGGGGTACAGTTCACAGCAGCAAAGGGTAATGCTTCCTCCATCTCCGGGTCAAAACCAACTGCAAGCAAGTTATGTGGAGCTTAAGCCCAGGCAGGTAATGGCCCTTTTACGTTTTGCTTTGGGTGGGGAAGGGTTCCCAGTTCCCTGAGATTTCAAGGCAGGGTGATGAGTGAGGAGTGGGTGGGCTGGGGGAGGGGCCGATGGCTCCCCCATCTGCTGACTGGCAGTGTTCATTATGGGCCCTGACAGATCGCTCTCCTGGGCTGTTAACCACGAACCCTATAAACATCAGCCCACCTGGAAATGCCGAGGCAGCTAGAGTTTGAATGCCTGTGGGATGTGCATGTCTAGGAAGCTTTGTGCCCTTTGTAGACGAACCCAAGCCTTAGGATAAGAGTCTGGATGCCTGTAGGTTTCCAGGTTCTGCTTGGGAGAAAAATTACCCATAAAGTAAACCGTGAGAATCAGTGGAATCCCTATTTAAGATTAAGAAAAGTGATGAGATCAATTTTGTGTAATACCTAACAAATGTGCTTCAATTTGCCAGGCTTTAAACACTCATAAATTCTACTTTCACTGTATTTAAAGTTCCTGGATGGTACCTGTATATTCACAGAGAAATAAACTCTATGGCTGCTAAAGTGATTCGGGAAGCTTGATAGAGACATCATTTTATCATTTGTACTGCAAAAGTTTATTGGAAAAGTTATCCTGAAAAATTGTCACTTAAAAAATCATTAGTTGCAAAGCCCCTTTACTGAAGTAACATGTTAGGACACATTCGTTTTCATTTAGAATAAGTCTTCAATACAGTCTGAATAGTTGAACAGAATTGTATGTTAAATGTAGAGTTTGTATACGTTATAGGGGTGAGAAAACAATTATATTTCCATAACTGACAAATGTTCTGAGAGTCACAAGATACATAGTTCTTGCAGAATGCTTTTCTATTTCTAAGCAAGAGCAAAGTAAGATGGGTGATTTAACTTTGCTCAGGATAGACCATCCTCACTCACCAAAGAATGTTTAATTAAAGCTTTTACTGGGCTTGTTGTCATAAATAAATCATATATATTTATTATTTAGATAATTTGTTCTTTATTAAATTGGATAATTTTATAAGCATGTAATGGGGTATATGGTGATAATTATAAGGCCTTTGTGCCTTATTAGTAGAGATTTTAGATATGATCATACCACCACTGGTTGAATTAAGTTCAAATGTATCTCTCAGTTGTGCTTTCAGCTCAAGAACATTCCTGTCATGTTTTGATTTTCCTTAGACAAGCCCATTCAGTAATATAAGTTTTTGTAGTGCATTCTTTTGCCTCAACATGGTTCCTAATAGCTGAAGGGAAAATTACATTGGAAATTATAGTATTGTTATTGTGTATGATTTGGCATCATTGTGTAGTTTTAGAAGGAATTTCTAGCAGCAACTGAAATATTCAACTCTGGGGAGTGTGTGTGAGCTTCTTTTTCCCTCTGGCCTGCCCAGGTAGAGACCTTTAAGGCCATGAATGAATGAAAGCAAATTTCCCTTGGCTATAGCTTCAGAGTCTCATAGATGTATGTGCTGTTTAAAGAGATTAGATTAAAGATCATCTTTATCTTGAAGTATTAATTTTTCTTGATGCCTTAAAGATAGGCCCTGTAGGAGATCAGTGAAGGACACTAGAGACTACACTTGAGTTTAATCAGTGATTGGCTTTGCCAAAGTGAAGCAAATGACTTTCAAGGCAGAAATTCTCTTTAGAGGCAGAAATCAAAGTAACTTTTAATGGCTAGTATAAGAATAATTGCTTTTTTTTTCTACTGAGGGCATTCTTTTTTAAAATTTATTTATTTAATCGTTTATGGCTGTGCTGGGTCTTCATCACTGTGTATAGGCTTTTTCTAACTGGGGCAAGCAGGGGCTACTCTCTAGTTTTCAGTGCTCGAGGTTCTCATTTTTGTGGCTCTAGGCACACAGGCTTCAGTGGTTGTGGTGCATGGACTTAGTTGCCCCGGAGCAGTTGGATTCTTCCTGCACCAGAGATCAAACCTGTTTCCCTGCATTGGCGGGCAGATTCTTAACCTCTGGCCCACCAGGGAAGTCCCAGGGATGTTCTTAACTAGACTTTTCAAAAAATATATCAGTCCATCAAAATAAAACCATAATTCTCATCCACATGAAAAATAGTTACTTGCAGCATTACACTGGAAAAAGACAATCTAGAGGAGATAGGGTTAGTCAAAGCAATGTTGAACAAGAGAAGGAGACCACATTCAAGGAAATTGCCTTAAGCTGGGTCTTTGTGTTCACTGGGAGGAGAATGCAAGCTGTTTCCTTTCCCCAGGGTTCCCTGTCACCTGTAGTCTGGTGAGTGGCAGTGAATGGGTTCCACTGGACCTGCCATTATTGCTTAAATCCCAGTGGTGACCCTGCCTTTCCCCTCCTCCCATATAGCTCCCCCACCAGCCCAAATCCACACTTGGAGAAGGAGTGGCTACCCAAAGAGAACTTAAACTTGAAGGGATTAGCTCAGAGGTCCTCTGTGCTGATGGACTGAGGGCCTGATCCTCTTTGCTTTTTCAGCCTTCCATGCCTCCACTGGCCCTCAAAATGATTGACTTGAGAAGGAGAGGCACCCAACTTCCATAGTCCACCCCCCACATCCCCTTTGCTCTGATTTCCCCACCACACATCTCTGAGGAGAATGCAAGCTGTTTCCTTTCCCCAGGGTTCCCTGTCACCTGTAGTCTGGTGAGTGGCAGTGAATGGGTTCCACTGGACCTGCCATTATTTCTTAAATCCCAGTGGTGACCCCGCCTTTCCCCTCCTCCCATATAGCTCCCCCACCAGCCCAAATCCACACTTGGAGAAGGAGTGGCTGCCCAAAGAGAACTTGAACTTGAAGGGATTAGCTCAGAAGTCCTCTGTGCTGATGGACTGAGGGCCTGATCCTCTTTGCTTTTTCAGCCTTCCATGCCTTCACTGGCCCTCAAAATGATTGACTTGAGAAGGAGAGGCACCCAACTTCCATAGTCCACCCCCCACATCCCCTTTGCTCTGATTTCCCCACCACACATCTCCCATTCCCACACAAACTCACATACCTACCAGGATGTGAAAATAACAGAAAACCTGATGGAAAAAGCAAGTGAACCTGGCTTGCATTGGAAAGTAGAAGTTCTCACACTGACCAAAGTAGGGAAGATAGAAAGGTGACCATCAAGCGATGGTCAGATGGTCACCTGCCTTGGATAATAAATTTCTTTCTTTGTATTGACTCAACGCTTTGTTTGCAAAACAGGGTTGCAGCCCTGGATACTATCGTGAGAACAAAGGCTTATACACTGGACGGTGTGTTCCCTGCAACTGTAACGGGCATTCCAATCGCTGCCAGGATGGCTCGGGAGTATGCATTGTGAGTAAACTGATGCGGAATATTACTAACAGACCATCTGTGCTTCCTCTCCCCCCTCCACTCGGCTCTCAGACATCAGACGTCACCTCTACCGAGCCCTAAATAGAGGTGACTATGTGAGCAGGGGGTGGGGTTGGGGGCGGGGGCAGGGTGCAGTGCCAGGTAACCAGGCTGAATTACTTCACACTCACTTTTTCCTCCATTTTTTTCAAAGATTACTTTTCCTGTGGACTGTTTTTAAAGTCTTTACTGAACTTGTTACCGTTTTGCTTCTGCTTTATGTTTTGTGTTTTTGGCTGTAAGACATGTAGGATCTTAGCTCCCCAACTAGAACCCTCACTCCCTGCATTAGAAGGCGAAGTCTTAGCCACTTGACTGCCAGGGAAGTCCCCTTTCCCTCCATTTTAAGGTGCGCCGTCAGAGAACATTCTGTCTGAGCAATTAAATTACACCTTAGCTTCTGAATCTCTCTCACAAGATGATAATAATGGGTAGATGCTGGGGTTTAACTCATGGCTGCAGTCATGTCTGACTCTTTGTGACCCCATGGACTATAACCCATTAGGCTTCTCCGTCTATGGGATTCTCCAGGCAAGGATACTGGCGTGGGTTGCCATGCCCTCCTCCATCTTTCCAACCCAGGGGTTGAACCCGAGTCTTCTGCAGCCTCTTCATTGCAGGCAGATTCTTTACCCCTGAGCCACCTGGGAAGCCCTAGCTCTTGCCAGGATATAGTAAACCAGAGCTATTCCTTTGGACCTCAGTTTTGTTGGGGGTGGGGTGGGGCAGGAAGTTGCCGGGAGGAAACCTCATTGCTATCAGATGAGCAGTGGTTCAAGAAATTGATCAGAGGAGAAGGCGATGCTGGCAAAGGCTGAAGGCACACTCTCCATCCATCAAACACTAATCCCCATGGCTGCCAAGGCAGTGCGTTTATGGGTGAAGACAGGCGAGGGGAGTCCCAGTGGTTTATGGCTTAGCCACCAGAAAACTATCTACTTTGGGTATGTTTTAGAAAATTTTCCCACACAAAACTAGGTTCTCAGGAGATTTTTCTCATGCATCCTGAAGCAAGACAGTTTTTATTCTGCTATCTTCCTCCCTATCCTCAGAGGTCCCCGGTCCAGTAGCCAATTAGAAGGAAGATGGACAGTTCCAAGGAAAGGAGGCCACATTGGTGCCTGAATACAGAGCCCCTGCTTCTTTTGTGTGGTTCAGAAATATGTTGTCCTGGTGCAGGCTTCCTCTCCATTGTGTGAGGCGCGTAGAATGTGTTTCAGCTCTTTGAGTTCCTAGACTGTTTTATGCCCATTCAGCATATCCTGAGGAGCTATTTCCTCTGCAAGACGGAACAGGCCAGGACAGGAAATTGTTGTAAAGAGCCTGACAGAATATTCTGTAGGATTTTAGCCTTATAAGTTCCCAAAGTGTAAGAGATGTCAGGCAGTATTATTTTCCAGCTCTTTGGTATCTCATGTAATAGTTTGTGTTTCACACTGTGTGATGTGTGTGACACAGGTAGACACTGTCACGAAAAATACTTATCTTGTCACTGAGTCGTTGCAAGGCCACTTTATAAAAGCTGCCAGAGGACAAAGGGAGTTTTCTCTGTAGTCCATCCACCCAGTGAAGGGATCACTAGTGAGAGGCATAATTCGTGTTTCAGTCAAACAACAAGATTCTCCTTCTCACTTTTCTTTGCAGCTCTGTCTTCCCTTGTCCTTGATGGCCACGTGGCCTCTAGATCTGGTTCATTCGGGGAACCCTTGCTGAGTATTTGCTCTTATGGGAAGGAACCAAGCTAAGTGCTGGGTTTAAAACCATCGGACATAATTCCTACTCTCGGGAGGCTTGCTGTCTGGTGGGGAGTGTGCGTGTGTACATGTACACACATGTACACACATGAGTGCATGCATATGGGCGCAGCTCAGTGGCAGGCTGTGGGTGCTGGCCCTGCTCTCCAACATGGCCCTTGCCTGGGAGCCACGCATGCAGCCCCATCCTCAGAGAACAGAAATGAGGAGACCCAGCCCCTTTCGCTAGCAGATGCGATGATTCTGTTCATTGGCCTCCACTTCCCAAGGTCCAGAGTCAATTTTGAAATCTGGGGCCTTCATGCACGTGCATCTCTCCCTGTTATTTCAAGTATGAGCTTCGAAGGGTGAAAAGAAACCAGCCCAACCCCCCCCACCCCCGCCAGTAAAGCAGCATGGGTCCAGTGGGGAGGCAGCCAAAGCCAGTCACGTGTCCTGTGGGTGCCGTTGGCCAGAGGGAGCCCTGATGACCAGCTCCCTTCTCTCCACCGAGGCCCTGCTGTTCCCCCTTCTCCTGGCCGCTTTCTCTTCCTTCCTCTGCCTTTGCTACCCAGTCACCTCTCAGCTTCCCTTTGTTTCCAGTTCCTTCCCTCCTCTCTCTTCTCATCCTCGATCTTCAGTTTTCCTCCTTTTTATTTATTTTTAAGGGAATTTTACTTTTCAATTATCTTACTTTATTTTTTTATGCTTAACACATGTGATTGCTCAGTTGTGTCTGACTTTTTGCAACCCTATAGCCAGGCTTCTCTGTTCATGGGATTTCCCAGGCCAGATTACTGGAGTGCGTTGCCACTTCCTGCTCCAGGGAATCTTCCCGATTCAGGGATCTAAACCACGTCTCTTGTGTCTCCTGCATTGGCAGGCAGATTCTTTACCACTGGTGCCACCAAGGAAGCCCATTTGTATTTATTTATTTTAATTTATTTATTTGACTGCCCCGGGTCTTAGATGAGACATCAAACTCTTAGTTTCAGCGTGTGGAATCTAGTTCCCTGACCAGGAATCGGACCCAGGCCCCCTGCATAGAGAGTTTTGAAGTCCCAGCCACTGGACCACCACATTGGTTTTCCTTCTTTTTATTCCCTGCTGCTGGATCCCATCTCCCCCTGCCCCCAGGATGATTTATCTGAAACTCACAGCTGCCTCGGGGGTCCCCTGAGGCTCACAAGCAGACGTTCACACTCCTCAGGCAGCCTCAGGGCCCCTTGATCTGTGCGGCTGCCTCTCCAGCCACATCCTGCCGCCTTGCACTTCACCCTCGGGAACACCAGCTGCTTCAAGTTGTCCGTCCACACCATGGCCCTCCTGCAAGACTGAGGTCCTGTGCACACCAACCCCTGGGCCCAGGGTGTCCTTCCCCACTTCTCCACCCAGCTCATTCCTCTCCTTCTGTCCTCCACACAGGCCTCATTGCCTCCCTGAGGCTCCTCTTGGTATTAAGGCATGCTGCCAACACCTTTGTCATCGTATTTCCCACACTGTATGTAAGATGTCTATTCCCAGGGTTCTGTCTACCCCCGAGTCAGGGTACCAATCCATCTTTGCATCCCTGGTACCTAGCATAGCTGAGCAGCTAGTTCATGCACAGTAGGTGTTTGCTGTCACATGGGCCTTGGAAAGCACATGCTGTGAGAGTGGATATGGATTCATTCATTCATTCACTCATTCACTTATTGACAGTAAAACCAGGAAATCTGATAGGTAGATGCCTCAAATTTGCAGGACTGAGGAAGACAGATTTCAGGGTAGGTGCTTTCAGCTGAGAGTGAGTGGTATTTCAGACTTTCTTAAGGGCTTTTATCAAGCAACTCAGTTTATAACCCCCTTCTACGCTCTTCTCCCTGTGCCCCTGTAAAGGTCCAGAGTTCAGAGGGGTTTGGGGAGGATTTATCATAGGATACAGGTAACCTCACCACAATTCTTGCTTCTCCACGTTCTTACTTCCTCAGTGTTTTCAGCTCAGATCTAAGTTGACATGGGACTAAAACATCTCTCTCCAGGCAGTTCTTCTTTAAAACTGTCATTTGGAGCTATAAAAGAAAGGAAACTGGGACTTTCCTGGTGATCCAATGGCTAAGACTCTGAGCTCCCAATGCAGGGGGCTTGAGTTCAATCCCTGGTCAGGAAACTGGATCCCCGCCCTGCCACAACTAAAAGATCCTGCATGCCACAACTAAGACCCTGCATGGCCAAATAAATAAATAATAAAGAAAGGAAACTAATGTGAAACGGGGAACACCTAGTTCAAAAGAGCAGATGTTTCTGAGAGAGTCAGGGAGGCCAGAGAGCAAAGTAAAGGTGCAGGAAGCTGCCAGCACCCTCAGCTGACACCCCCAAGAGACTCCTCTCTGGATCCTACAAGTCCTGATAACCTTGGAAAGTGGGTATTATTTTAACTGTACAATTTAGGAAAATTAGAATAGTATATAAATCATACACCATTAATATTGACTTATATGGACCTTCCCTGGTGGTCTAGTGGTTAAGACTTCACACTCAACCACTTCCACACAGTGTAGGGGACACAAGTTCAATCCCTGGTCAGGGAACTAAGATCCCACATGCCATGTGGCATGGCCAAAAAAAAGTTGATTTATTAAAAAACACTGAGGCCCAGAGAGGTGAAGGGACTTGCCCAAGATCCCACAGCTATGGAATATTCAAGTGGGATTTTAACCCACTGATCGGGCTCCATTTCGCTCTTCCTCCTCATGATAACACCGAATAGCTGATGGAAGGGCAATTACACCATTTTTCTGGCACCAACAATGATTGGCTGTGTAGGAAAATCACATGATTAGCAAAACTGATATTGCTGTGTCAGAAGATTAGAGTTATAATTGTGTGAGTAATTAAGGTGACAGCAATCTCAATAGTAATAAATGTAACAGGTTGTTATTAATTTTACCATTTCTCTCTCCCAAGAACTGCCAGCATAACACTGCAGGGGAACACTGTGAGCGCTGTAAAGAGGGTTACTATTGGAACACCATCCATGGCTCCTGTAGCGTCTGCCCATGTCCTCATTCAGACAGGTACTGTAGAAGTTTGACAATAATCTATAAAGACAGGAAGCATTGGGTTGGCAAAAAAGTTCATTTGGATTTTTTGTAGCCATGATGGAAAAACCCGACTGAACTTTTTTGGCCAACCCAATAGTTTGATGGGTGTCTAGGGCTGGGGAATGGGTACTGGGAAGAAATGGGAAGGGGCTGTTAAATGGCATAAAATTCTTTTTAGAGGTGATGAAAATGCTCTAAAATTGATTGTGGTCATGACTGTGCAATTCTGTGAACACATTAAAAGCCATTGAATCTAACATTTTAGGTGGGTGGATTGTATGATATGCGAAGTCTATCTCTCATAAAATAATTTTCTATTTTAAAAAAAGAAACAAAAAAAATGGAAACCAAACAAACACAGACTCTCCAAGTTGTCTTCTTCAGGGTTTTGCCTTTTCCTCTTTTCTTTTGCTGTTCATTCAGTGGCTAAACAACTTATTGAGCACCATCCCTTCTCTTGATGCTGGGGTAACTGCAGTAAAGAAGGCTGGCAAAGACATTAAGCTTCACCTGAAGAATGTGAGGAGAGAGTGGGGTTGTTACTCAATAGAATGTGCACAAGTCAGTCTGAAGTATAACTTCAGAGATGGGCTACACCACTGATAAAAGGGTTATATGATAGAGAGTGGATTCTTTACAGAGGGTGGTATCAGGCTTTCTGGAGTTGTTGGGCAGGGGCTCCTGAGTGATGAGGTGGAGTACCAAGACAATATGATGAGGGTCCATGGCAAGGGGGAAAAAAGACAGATGAGAAAACTCCTGTGATGATGGGTTTGTGGACAGTAAGAAGGCATGGATGGCTTGATTGCTCTGAGAGAGGGCTGGCTGGGAGATGAGGTTGGTGGGACAGCCAGGATACAGATCCTGTACCTTTCAGGCTAGAGTAAGGCACTTGGATGTTAAGGATTTTTATCCTCAGTGTGATGGAAGCCACAGGACAGTTCTGAGCCACAGAGAGAGATGTGATCTGCATTATCATCTGGGCTCCAGTAAGGTCAGTAGACTCTGTAGGTAGAAAGCTGTCATTTTCCTTTCATGATAATTTATGTTCAGTTTGGCTTTGGCACCTTGTCCTACTCTTGCTCATCATCACATGTTCACTGTGAGTCCAGACAAAATATAAACAGGTAACTAAGTGAAGCAAGATTTGATTTGAAAAATCAGAATGATGGTGATCAAGTACCAGTAGGGCACAGGTTCAGGAGCAAGTGTGGACTGCAAGGCTGGTTGATATCAGCTGAGCTAGCAGAGAAATTGGCCAAGTCTTAAAATTAACAGAAGCCACCTGCCCAATGTAGCTTTTCTGGAGATGCATATTTGAAATATGCACCCTGGTTTGCTATCTGTGTGTTTGATACTCCTTAAACCTGCCCGGTCCTGTGGCTTTATTTGTAAAGGGATCTATCACATGACACTTGCCCAGGCTTGTTTGAACAGAAACTGGAGAGAGTAAAAAGCAGCAAGATGTTCACAGGGTGCTTGGGGAAAGTGTTTGATCTTTGGTTGCAAAGCATGTTATCATCAAGGTCAGCTTTCAGCTTCTGTGTAGTTGGAAGTAACATGCAGTTCCTAGGATGTATCAGTAAAATCATATTTTTATCTAATTCTCCTTCCAGCAATATTAATACTGCTGACAAATTTCTAACTGTCCCTTTAGAGGTGTGACTCTCTATCTATCTAATTAGCCAAGAGAAGCTTCCCAGAAGAACTCTTTGGAACTTCCCTTGTGGTCCGGTGGTTAAGAATCCACTTTCCAATTCAGGGGATGTAGGTTCAATACCTGATTGGAGAACTAAGATCCCATGTGCCACAGGGCGACTAAGCTCACCTGCATGCGTGTTATAGAGTTATAACACTATAACTGTGTCTGACCCTAGGGAGCCCACCAGGCTCCTCTGTCCATGGCATTCTCCAGGCAAGAATACTGGAGTGGATTCTCCATGCAGGTGCTCTTCCAAGGGATCTTCCTGACTCAAGGATCAACCCGAGTCTCTTATGTCTCCTGCATTGGCAGATGGGTTCTTTACCACTAGCACCACCTGGGAAGCCCAGCTAAGTCCATGAGCTGCAGCTAACATCCAGCACACCCAAATAAATAATTTTAAAAATCAGAATTCTCTTATCAGCTAGTGATAAATGGAGTTATTTCCCCTCAGATCTATGTCAGTGTAATGTTCAGTGGTCATAGATGTTTCTTCGTAAGGCAACAAGGACTTTTTCTTGGTCTCTTGGTTTAATTTTTTTTTAAAGAAGCTTCTATAATACACCAGTTCAGAACTAAAAGAAAAAGAATGAAAGTTCCAACAACCTGATTGGAAAAGTGTGGAAATCACCAGTGACCATGCCCACAGAGCTGCTGGGCCCAAGCGTGCTCTGTGCTTTAATCCCCTCTGGGACTCTGAGGGGACTCTGGGTGGCCCTGCCCACCACCCCAGAACCCTCCACACACATACTTTTTCTTCCCAGAAGGGACTGTACCCAGTATAAAATAAAAGAACTAGAATAAGCAAGGAAGGAAAAAAAATTTTTTTTTTAAAGAATCAGAACTCTCTGTTCTTTCTTTTCTGCCCAGACTTGTTTGAGTCTTTCCTTGTTATTTCTGGAAAAAGTGCTGTCGTCACCATCTCTTCCCAAGTGCGTTACTTTATTCTGTCTTGAGGGAAGGAATGTATTTCTCCAAGCCGAAAATAAAAATGCCTTCAGTCCCTATTCACCCAGGTTTGCCCGATGTCAGCTGAAATCATTCATCATTCTCTCAACAAGTTTTGATGGGCAAAATTTTTTTCACATGGAAGGTACCTGGACCCTTGGTTTCCAGTTTCACTTCATGTGGCAAAAAACAATGAGCATAAAAACCTGTGGGTTTGTGTTTCTACTGGGGCTTTTTCCTGTCTTTTTTTTTTTAAGTTTTGCCACCGGTTGTGTTGTGACTGGGGAAAACGTCAAGTGCTCCTGCAAGCCTGGATACACCGGAGCGCGCTGTGAAAGGTGGGTGCCGCCCTCCTCCGTGCCCCCTTCTCTCCGCCCCCATCGCACAGGTGGGGTGGGCTCTGTGGGCAGGCTGCTGCAGGCACCCCGGGTGTGGGTGGGGCTCTGCTGGGTCGTGGCTCAGAGCTGGGGTGGGGCCGCCGGTTTCCCTGAGGCTGGGAAAAGGTCTCTTGGGAAAAACACAAGACTGTTACTTCATAGATCATTAACTTCTTTCCTTCTCTTCCTTGCTTCGTACTTGTGGAAATTTGAGAATTAGGGCCAATATGTCATAGTCCTATACACTCCAGCAAACGCCCCTGTATGCCCATGTACTTACATATATGCCTACATACCTCCACTCCCACGCATACTCCTACATGCCTCTCCCCAAACATATATCTGCATACTCTACCACCATTGAAACTCAAATTGCTATCCCCAAATATACACACCCCTGCTTGCCTGTACACAAACATGCGACTCTACATACTTCCATACATGCACACGTATCCACAGCCCTAGATGTGCCTACACACACCCCCCTGTTAATGCACATACGACATTATGAGCAATGGCAGGACAGCCTGTGTCTCACTCATTTCTGAATCCCTTAGTGCCTAGTGTGCTACTATTCCCATACTAGGTGTTTAGTAATGTTTGGGAAACAAAAGAATACATGTTACAGAATGGAAGGTATGTACTTGATTATAAAGGCCGCAGAGCCAAGCTTGCCTTTTTCCTAAACAATGTTTCATGATTAGCTACTCTGCCCAGGTACTGTGAAGGATACAAAAGACACTTGTCATCTAGACAGGAAGAAAGCATACACATACATATATATCTGGAAAAGTAACAGTAAAATGAATCATATGGATAACATTTTAAAATTTAAAATAACTATCATAAGATCAGTACATAATTGTAAAAAAATTTATAAATTATGAAAATGATGTAACACAGGTGTGTGTGTGTGCTAAGTCATTTCAGTTGTGTCTGACTCTCTGCAACCCCATGGGGTGTAGCACGCCAGGCTCCTCTGTCCATGGGATTCTCCAGGCAAAAATACTAGAATGGGTTGCCATGCCCTCCTCCAGGGGATCTTCCCGACCCAGGGATCAAACCCATGTCTCTTACTATCTCCTGCATTGGCAGGCAGGTTCTTTACTGCTAGTGCCACCTGGGAATCCCCATAAAATAGGTGAGCCAAAAGCTAATAAGGCAAAAAACTACTAAGTAACACACCCTTACAATTGCCCTATGCTCATGCCTGCCCACCTACAGTGCTATTCATAGTTATTTTGCCTACAGAAAACCATGGTTAAAACTTGTTGAAGGGAATTCCCTGGTGGTCCCCTGGTTAGGATTCTGCGCTTGCACTGCAAGGGACACAGGTTCAGTCCCTGATTGGGGAACTAATATCCCATGTGCAGCACCCCCCAAAAAAAGTTGTTATGTTCTTACATATCAGTTCTATATGCACAGACTTTTTCTTAAAAAAAAAAAAGTAGATTTCAGTTTTGCTTTTTGTTTTGACTTATTTTCTCATCTAATTATATATTAATAATCTGTTTCCATGCAGGGTGCCCTGGTGGCCCAGATGGTAAAGAATCTGCCTGCAATGCTGGAGACCCAGGTTCAATCCCTGGGTCAGGAAGATTCCCTGGAGAAAGAAATGTCAACCCACTCCAGACTTCTTGCCCAGAGAATCCCATGGAGAGAGGGAGCCTGGTGGGCTACAGTCCATGGGGTCGCAAAGAGTCAGGCATGACTGAGTGGCAAACACTTTCATTTTCAGTCTGTATCCATAACAATAAGTATTCATTGATAACATCTTGTCAGGCCAGGAAGTTCCACTTAAGTTCCATCATCCCCTGCTCTTGGCCTTGGAGATGAAAATGAAAGTGCAAGTGAAGTCGCTCAGTCGTGTCCGACTCTTTGCAACCCCATGGACTGTAGCCTACCAGGCTCCTCCGTCCATGGGATTTTCCAGGCAAGAGCACTGGAGTGGGTTGCCATTTCCTTCTCCAGGAGATCTTCCCAACCCAGGGATTGAACCCAGGTCTCCTGAATTGCAGGCAGACGCTTTACCATCTGAGCCACCGGGGAAGTCCAAAGCCACTGGATGGCCTTGGAGATAGTTGGATATAAATGTTTATACCTATTTTGTTTTTTGGGGTTTTTTGGTTTTATATCACCACACCATGAGGCATATGGGATCTTAGCTCCCCAATCAGGGATTGAACCCGCCCCCCCCTGCATTGGGAGGATGAAATCTTAACAACTGGACCCCCAAGGAAATCCCTGTTTTTGTACTTCTGTGATTTTACTTCTTAACTTCAAATCTCGATGTTAGTGAAATATTGGAACCTTGCCTTTTTTATGGTGTTGCTTCTCACATGGCAGATAGACCTAGGGTCAACATATAAGACAAAAATTGACCAGAGCTCAGATAACCTTGACTGTTGCAGTATTTCATGTCTCAGTAATCCCGGGGGGCCATGCTGCGTGAAATGTGCCTGGTGTCTGGTTACACCTGGAGCCACACTCTGTAGGGTGAAATGTTCGTAGGAGGAGAGGCACTGGGAGCCCAGCTGGGGGGAGAGCAGGCCCCCATCCCTCAGGTTATGCTCCCCGCCGGAGTGTGCTCACAGAGTGATGGGGACACAGACTCCTGTACGCTCATGCTCGGGTACTGTTAGATGAATTCACTGAAGCTTCTCCCGGGGAACTTCCCAACCCAGGGATTGAACCCAGGTCTCCCGCACTGCAGGTGGATTCTTTACCAACTGAGCCACCAGGGAAGACATTCACTGAAATTAAATGTGTCCAAAATGTGTATGGACTTGGATTTGGTTCTTGTGCAGTTATCACTTCTGCGTCATTTCTGAAACTATAAAATGACTTTGACTATTTGGTTGAGCCAGGTTCCCTTCATAACCCTTATTTAAATTTTTTCCTGGACTGTTCTGGCATATTGTTTTTCTGGATAACTTTAGAAGAGTTTTACCAAATTAAAAAAAACCACACACACACACAATCAATTCAACTGGATTTCATTTTAAGGTGGTGGGGGGGCTACTGTGGACTAGGGATATCTGAAACATTTTAAGGACAAGGTGGGACTTACGTAGGTTGAGGGGATGGCTAGAACCCGGTGGAGCTGGGAGATGGAGCTGGAAGACAGCTCAGGTCAGGGAAGTAACGTAAGCAAGTCAAAGGGCCTCAAGGGTACCTGCCATGGGTGGAAGGGGGAACACCCTTTTTATGTGCATCAGCTGAGGGTCTGGACACTATCCCATGGTAAAAAGGAGCAATTTGAATTTCTTCTGTTTTTCATTTCTGCACGGGGAACATAACTCATGTTTGTCTCACATCTATTAGTCATTCTTTCCTTCAATGAAAAATGGATGGAGATCCTAGTATCTGCCTGGCACTGTGCTGAGCATTAGAGACACATGAGCAACCAGAGCACAGACTCTGCCCTCAAGGGTTTTCCAGTCTAGTGGTGAATGGGCATACAAACGGGCTGTTGAAATAGAGAAAGTGAAAGTGTTAATCACTCAGTCGTGTCCTACTCTTTGTGACCCCATGAACTGTAGCCCACCAGGCTCCTCTCTCCATGGGATTCTCCAGGTAAGAATACTGGAGCAGGTTGCCATTCCCTTCTCCAGGGGATCTTCCCAACCCAGAGGTCAAACCCAGGTGTCCTGTATTGCAGGCAAATTCTTTACAGCCTAAGTCACCAGGGAAGCCCTAAAACAGAGGGAACTGGGCTAAATCAGGCTGCAACAGGAGGGCATCCCACTGGAACTGAAGGGGGAGGGACGGAAAAGGCAGCCACCCTGAGACAGGAAAGATGGGTAGAGTGGGGAGTAGGCCGGGTCTTCCAGGCTCCGTGATTTTAAAGCTATGGGGCTCCCGTCTGGGAGAGGCTTCCTAATTTAATCCTCTGTACAGTTCTTCACAAACAGTGAGGTGGAAAACAGCACCAGTCCGGAGGAGCCATCCATTTGGCAGGCAGCTGATTGGAAAAGGGAAATTGTTAATTAACAGTAGCCTCAGCTTAGGTTTGTTACATTTGATCATACATCGAGGAAGCAAGTATTGTTTAAAAAAGAGACAAAACTTTTCCATCGCTAAAAACTTTTCTATCGCTTCTCAGCCTTTTGGCTAACATCAAGTGTAAAAAACTTCTACAGCTTAATGCCATTTTAATGTCAAATTTTTTTACTTGTTAGACATTTATTGAGCGCCCACTCTGTGCCAGGCTGCCAGGCATCATCAGCCACTAGTGGTTAGCTCTGCAGTGATAAATACAAGCACAGTGTGGAGTGAAAAATAAGGATGTATGCAGGAGAGCCGGAGAGAGGTGGGGGAGGGGCAGGGAAGGGATCCCAGCTCACATTCCAACCCTCCCACCCCCCCACCCCACCCCATGCTCTGAGACAAGTTTCTTCCTCAGCTGTTCAGAGCCACAGATGACAGAAGCTCTCTCTGCTCTTCATTTGCTGTACCAATGTCACCTATGAAATCAGGAAGTTTTACTTTAGTCCATTGTGTTTAGCCACTATTGTGGCTAAATAGGAAGAAAGGCACCAGTTCAGTTCAGTTGCTCAGTCATGTCTGATTCTTTGCGAGCCCATGAACCGCAGCATGGACAGGCCTCCCTGTCCATCAGCAACTCCCGGAGTCCACCCAGACCCATGTCCATTGAGTCGGTGATGCCATCCAACCATCTCATCCTCTATCGTCCCCTTCTCCTCCTGCCTTCAATCTTTCCCAGCATCAGGGTCTTTTCAAATTACCTTACTTAAAGTTACATAAATATTCCAGAAATTTTATTCTGCTTTGCAAGATTAAGGAAGAAGCAGAATAAAATTTCTGGAATATTTATGTAACTTTAAGTAAGGTGTTTTGTAAATATGTATCTTTTATACAGAAAGTTTACATACAAGTGAGACACCTGAAGAAAAAGTACTTTAAACAGAGATCTTTTGCATAGCATGGTTAGGAAGCAGAATATGGGGCTGGCAACTTTAAGGAAAGCCCTATTATTAGCACAGTCTGTTAGTAGACTTGGATAAGCTGCCTCAGTTTAGTTACCTTCCTGATAATTAGGGAATACATGAGTTTTCTGCTTCCTGTCCACTATCTGAAATGTAGTCATTTCAAATGATATCAGTTATACATACACACCAATATATGAATATTTTCATCATGTCTTAGAATGGTAGTGGCTACCTTTTACTGAGTGTCTGTTATATGCAGGCATTGTACTAGATTCTTTACTGCTTTATCTTTTATCTTATTTCCATCCACCAAAATAGATATGGTTAGTACAATTTTTCATTCATTCATTCAGCATGTATTTGTATCTGATATTTATATGTATTTATATCTGTATACAAATATTTATACCTGTATTTATATCTGATTCCTAAAATGTGCCCAGGCACTGTCCCAGGTGCTAAGGATGTTTCAGTGAGCAAAACAGGCCCCCCCCAAAATCACATCCTCTTGGAGCTTACATTTTCATAAGAGGAATAGATGAAGAAGTGGAAGCTTGTGGGGTTCAGATAAGCCCAAGATTACATGCACGGTGGTGAAAGCGGGAATCCATGCAGGTAGATCTTCCTGACTCAAAACCTGTGTCCTTTGTGCTATATCACCAGTTTATCTGTTGGAAAAGAGTATTTAAATTGCCTGGAAATTCTTTGGTACAAAGCTTAAATTTGGGTTGCATGCATGCTCAGTCGCTTCAGTCGTGTCCAACTCTTTGTGACCCCACAGACCGTAGCCTGCCAGGCTCCTCTCTGTGGGATTCTCCAGACAAGAATGCTGGAGTGGGTTGCCATTTCTTTCTCAGGGAGTCTTTTCACCCCTGGGATCGAACCCTCGTCTCCTACATTTCCTGCATTGGCAGGCAGAATTCTTTACCACTAGTGCCACATGGGAAGCCCTAAATTTTGGGAAGAGAGTCAAATGCCTTATTTCCTTGATTCTATCAATCCCATTGATGATAAAACAACACACACATACCAACTTAATGACAATTTTTGGGGGGGTAATAGAGTGGAAGTGGAACTTTGCTAATGAACAGAAATGTTTTGATTTACCTCCCTGTTCCAAAAACATTAACATGGGTTTATTTTATTGTTTGAAAAAAGTAGAAACTCACCAGCAAGGAAACATGATCTTTTAACTTATAAATAAGGAGCTGACATCTCATCACTAAATCATCTAGAATAATAAAGCCTCAGGCCAAGGTAGCAGCTGTAACTGCTCAGTTATTTAAGCCCCTTATGTACATCACTGCAGTAAAATAAATATGAATTATGCAGAGTTGGATTAGTACAGTAAGAAATGTTAATAAAATCTCCCTTTATGCAAAAAATTGAAATTAAATTAATTTTCCTTTTTTTTTTTTTTACCTTTGAGGAAATTAGCTGTAAATTAAGCAGTATGTAATTGTGTGATATCTTCAGAAATTCAGCTCTTGCATAAAATTCACCCATCCCTAATTTCCATACTGGTCAGACTACTGACTCCTGTTTGTGTTTTGTTCATGTGCCATTTGGCTGTAGGTACATCATCTGCATGTCAAGGGGGGAGGGAGAAATCTCTGCCTGCCTCCCACCCTCACCATTCCCATTCAAGTCACAGATATCTCTACTGAGATGCATTCACTCATGCAAATCTATGTCAGCATTTTCTCCCATAGGGTTACGATATCCCAAACAGGGAGCTGGAAGTTGAGAAAACTGGGTGAAGTAAATGATGCATTCTTTGTGTGTTTCTTCTCTTTTTCTATATTCTGTGTAGGTGTGCTCCTGGATATTTTGGAAATCCCCAGAAATTTGGAGGCAGCTGCCGGCCATGCAATTGTAACAGCAACGGCCAGTTGGGCATTTGTGACCCCCTGAACGGAGGTAAGATCGACTCACACCTCTGTTAACCTGCCTTTATCAAACTGGTACATCATAGCAGGCAAAGAAGCCAAACAGCCCTTTTCAGAAAGCACACACACAACTGCACATAACAAATTGTGCCCTTGTTTTGACAAAGTTGGGAATGCTTAGGTAGTACTCACAGCTTTGGTGAATAACTTAATTTCAAGTAGGTTTTTTTATTAAGGTAAATTGTTTTTATTTTATTTATTTATTTTGGTAAATTGTTTTTAAAACTTCTTTAATTATAGCCAAAATAACTTTAGACCCTATTTCAGTGATTTTGGTGAGATCTCACTTTGCCATTATAAGGTTATTCTCTCATCAGCTTCCTTTGTGTGTGTATCTGAAGAATTCAAAGTGCTCTTCTCCTAAAGCAGTAACTGTTCTAGAATGTGAGTGTATAATTGAGATGAATTTTACCTACCAGGAAAAAGACATTAACTGGAAGTTAGTATAGATGGAGTAGGAGAAAAAGGAAGCTGGGGAAAAAAGGAAGAGTCTCCATTTCCTTCTTTGATGGAGAATATTTGTTGTCGTTCAGTCGCTAAGTCATGTCCAACTGTAGCACACCAGGCTTCCCAGTCCACTGTTTCCTGGAGTTTGCTCAAACTCATGTCTGTGTGTCAGTGATGGCATCCAACCATCTCATCCTCTGTCTAATGGAGGATATTAATGGATTTATCAGGAAAACGCCATTGATATAGTACAGTACCAAATCCTTAGATAAAATCTCTCATCTTCTAGACAAGGTAAAGAACTACACCCTGGATTCGTGGATTAGATCTGCCCAAGTACTGTTCCCAAAGGGCTGCAGAGTAAATGGCTCCTTGTCAGTCTAGAATGAGGTGCCTGTTGTCATGTTTTGGGGCTTCATCTGAGCTCCATCTTGTTCAACATCGTTGACCTGAATGGAAATATAGAAGGCCTGCCCACTCAGTTATCAGATGACACAAAGTTGGAGGAGCCAGAAAACACCTCCTATGACACATTTAGAATAAAATAGGTCCTCACCAGCCTGGAGTGAGGGGCCAGTTCTAACCAGACAAAATTATGCTGAGGCTTGCATGTGGTCAGTCCTGTAGTGATAAGTGAGTCACGGCTAAGGTTTCAGTTAGTGGTGAGTTTGATATGAATCAAGAGGGTGACATGGCCCCTTAGATGCCTCATACTATCTCCGCTGAGTTCTGGTGTCCAAAACCAGGTGGCTTACTGTTCCCTGGTCTGCTGCCATGCAGGTCCTCGGTGGGGGGCGGTAGGGGAGTTGTCTTCAAAAAGCAATAGACACGCTTCAATTTGTTCAGAAAGAAGGTGAAACTGTGAAGAGACTTGTAGCCTTGTGGAGGGGACAGTGGAGAGTAGACTTGGAAAGGACGGATCTGAAAGGGGCATGTGTGGGAGAAGGGTGGGTCTCATTCTATGTGACTTAAGGGCTGGAACTCGCTTCCAGGAGTGGAAGCTAGAGGGAGGCCTATCGTAAATCATTCCGAATAGGAAGTATCAGATGTTTAAAGATGAAAAGGACTGGCTTAAAAGGAAATGAGTTCTACTGTCCCTGGAGGTCCTTGGAGGTGTTCAGGAGAAGTTTCAACATTGGACACATCGTACTGTGAGATGGATGCCTTTTCAAGCCTCCTTGTCCCTACTCTAATAACAAAAATAAGCAACCTGAAATGAGGATGGTAACTATTTGTTCCTCGAATGGAATAAAATCCTCACATCTGAGACACTTTTGTCCCTGTGGGATCCCCTCCTCCCTTTTCTTTCATTCATTCTTTTTTTTTTTCTACCTAGCAATGGACAGATTCTTTGGTGGTCAAAACTCAAACTTGTTGAGAAAATTGCACTGATGAATGAGTCCTCCTTATAAGTCAAGTTCCCCATAGACAGTCCAAGGTGCTGTGTTTGCAGAAGTTTGTGAAGGAAAGGAAACCTTGTTTCCTGCCTATAAGGGAGTTCATGGTCTAATTGAGGAAATAAAGGTGACACAGCTATATGTATATATTGTTGTTCAGTCAACCAGTCCTGTCCAACTCTTTGTGACTCCATGGACTTCAGCATGCCAGGCCTCCCTGTCCCTCACCATCTCCCAGAGTTTGCCCAAGTTCATGTTCATGTTGATCAAGTGATGCCATCCAGCCACCTCATCCTCTGATGCCCTCTTCTCCTTCTGCCTTCAATCTTTCCCAGCATCAGAGATTTTTCCAATGAGTCTTTTGTTCACATCAGATGACCAAAATACTGGCGCTTCAGCTTCAACATCAGTCCTACCAGTGTCCTTTCAGCATCAGTCCTTCTTATATATACATGTAAGAGTGAATAAAAGGATTTTTTAAAAAGGATGAGTAAGAGAAATCTATGATTACATATAATAAATTAAAATGTATTCAAATATACACTGGGGACACATTGATTGTCTTTGATCAAGGACAATGTTTTATCTCATTTTTCTGATCTTTCCAAATTTTCCATAGAAAAGTATGTATTTTTTTTACGATGAAAAGCAAACATGGTTTAAAACATATGTGTATACAGACAAAGTGTAGAGTATTACCTGTTGTTGAGAATACACCTGAAAGTCTCCTTGTTGCATGTCTAAGAAAGTTTCAAGTTTAGAGTTTTCCTTTGATGAAGTTAGATGGTTTTTCAGAGGGAAATGAGAGGACATTTCAGTATGCATGGTATGGGGAAAGGAGTAGAAGTTAGTGGAGTGAAGAATGTCCAAGGATGACTGTTAGGCTTTCCTGTCTGTAGCTGAGAACCTCAAGATTCAGCATGTACACACAGTAGTTGGTGGAGCTAGTCCACTGAGTGTGGATATCTCCCTTACAGCACCTGTCACACTGTCGTGAAATGTGTCTACCTCCCCCGCAGGACCGTTATCTTCCCTGACCATTAAGGAGCATTAGTTCTCTACCAGAGATTGAACCTGCACTTATAGGACAGCAGAGATTTTGTCTTCTATCTTTGTATTCCTGCCCCTAGCACAGGGCCATGGGACTTAGGGAGTGCTCAGAGGCACTCAGTGAGTGTTTATTGAATGTTCTCAAATGATATTGGAAGAGACATCAGCAGTTGTAAAAGAGGCCACCGAATGAAGGCAACAGTAACAACTTGGAGTGTTAACTTCATAAGAATCGCATGATCCTTTGAACAGAAGAAACAATATATCATCAGAGAGGCCACAAGAGACATTCCTGTAGCCAGACTGCTGGGATCCAAGACAGCTCTCAGAACAGTGGCCCTAGGGAAGGAGGGAGAAGGGAAGAGCTGGCCATACTGGGTCGGTGGGTGACTGAAATTTTCTGAAACTAGCTTTCCTAAAAGCCAAGTTAAAATGTGCATGAAGATTAAGTTTTGTAGCACTGTCTTCTTTGTTTACGCCTCATTTCAGACTGCATAAACCAGGAACCCAAAGATGGTGGTCCTGGAGAAGAATGCGACGGTGAGTAAAAAAAGTGCCCCCTCCCTTCCGGGTTGTGGGGTTCAGCTTCAGATCTGTGAACCCCAGACTGTGACATGGGAAAGCACTGGTGGGAGGAGGTGGAAGGAGGGCTGCGTGTGTGCTAAGTCGCCTCAGTCATCTCTGACTCTGTGCAACCCCATGGGCTGTAGCCTGCTAGGCTCTTCTGTCCATGGGATTCTCCAGGCAAGAATACTGGAGTGGGTTGCTATGCCCTCCTCCAGCAGGGCTACTTAGGGTCAAATCCAGTCTCTGCCAACTAATATCTGTATGATCTCGTGCCAGTGACCTTGCTTCTTCAAGCCTATTTCATCATTTGTACAGTGGTGAAACTGAGGTTGATAGTAACTATACTAACCTCATATAGTTGTTGGAAAAATGCTTATGAATCCCTTATCATGATTCCTGCAAGCACTCAATAAGTAAAAACTATTTATTATTCCTTTTCCCATATACAAAATAAGCAACAAGTTGCATAGGTTCACCATTTATTCGCCAAGTTGTATTGATATATAGTTGACATGCAACATTGTATTAAAGTCTACAACATAATGATTTGATATATGTATAGATTGTGAAATGATTGCCACAGTTAGTTAACATCCATCAACTCACACAGTTACAGATTTTCTTTTGTGCACTAAGAATTTTTAAGATCTACTTTTTTGGTGACGTTCAAATACGTAATAGAGTGTCCTTAACTATAGTCATCATGCTGTACATTTTACATGCTAAGTTACTTCTCTTGTTTTTTATTTTTTAAAATGTTTTTCTTATAGTGTAGTTGCTTTACAGTATTGTGTTAGTTTCTGCTGTACAATGAAGTGAATCAGTTACATATATATACATGTATCCTCTCTGCCTTGAGTCTCTCTCCTGCCCTCACCCCATCCATCCCTCCAGGTCATCACAGAGCACTGGGCCGAGCCCCCTTCACTATCCAGTGGGTTCCCAGTAACTGGCTACTTTGCACATGGTGGTGTATATATGTCAGTGCTACTCTGCCAATTCATCCCGCCCTCCCCTTCCCCGTCTTTGTCCACATGTCCATTCTCTACATCTGCATCTCTATACCTGCCCTGGAAATAGGTTCATCTGTACCATTTTTCTAGATTCCACATATATGTGTTAATATACAATATTTGTTTTTCTCTATAACTGGATGTTTGTACCTTTTGACCACCCTCACTCATTCTCCCCACTACACCATTTCTTTGTAAAATGCTCCTGTCTAGAGAGCTCCCTTTTTCAGAATTGCATTCTTCTCTGAGAAGTCCCGGAGTGATTTCTGCCTGTGATGGGCTATGTGTGTATTAACCAGCTGCTTTGCAGCTCTGGGGCTTGGTCTGCATTCCTGTGGCTCCAGTCAGCAGCATGTGTGCCTCTGATTGTGGCCCCACAGATTGTGACAGCTGTGTGATGACGCTCTTGAACGATCTGGCCACCATGGATGATGAGCTGCGCCTGGTCAAGTCTCAGCTGCAGGGCCTGAGTGTCAGTGCAGGGACCCTGGAGCAGATAAGGCACTTGGAGACCCAGACCAAGGACTTGAGGGTAAGTACCCCGCGGTCACACACGATGCCTGGCCCAGGGCAGTTACTCGGTGGATTCACAGATGCTGCGTGAATGAATACTCCTCATGCAGGGAGGGGTGGGAAGCTTGACTGCACTTAATGTTTAGGGTAGCTGTCCTTCCTCTGCTCTAAATGAAGATTAGATTTCTACTGGTGAAAAGTACAGTGAACACAGAAAACTGACACTTCTAAGTGAAGATTCCTTACGTACTGAATGTTTCTGGTCTCATTTTTCTCATAGTCTTTATCTCAGTATCTTGTGTTCAGAAGATTCAAACTCAAACTTTGGTAAAATTGTCGTTGATTCCTTTTTAAATGTTTGGTGGAGTTTTCCAGTGAAGCCATGTGGGCCTGGAGTTTTCTTTGTTAAATTTTTTTTTTAAATTTAACTACAAGATCAATTAAAAATAGGTATTGGACAGTTGGGATTATTTATTTCTTTTTGAGTGCTATTTGGTAATGTGTGCCTTTCAAATGATTTTTTCATTTCACCTAAATTATTAATAGCAAATATATTGACATATAATTGTTTATAATTTTTCCTTATTATCCTTCTAATAGCTGCAAAATCTGTAGTGATGCTTTCTCATTCATTCTGGTTATTGGTCATTTGTGTCTTATCTCTTTTTTTTTTATTATTCTGGCTAGAGGTTTATCAGTGTTATTGATCTTTTTATTTCATTGATTTCTGTTGTTTTTCAGTTTTCAATTTCATTGATTTCTATTCTATCCATATCTTTTCTTTCTTCTGCTTGCTTTGGGTTTAGTTTGCTATTCATTTTCTAGTTTCTTAAGATAAAAGCTTGTTTCCTGATCCAAAACATTTCTTAATATAAGCATTTAATGCTGTAAGTTTTCCCCTAAGCAGTATCTTAGCTGTATCTCACACATTTTTAAGTGTCAATTTCCATTTTCATTCAATTCAAAAGATTTTCTGATTTCCCTTGTGATATATCTTTGATCCCTAAGTTATTTAGAACTATATTGTTTAATTTCCAAACTGAAGATTTTCCAGTTAACTCTATTATTGATTTCTAGTTTAACTCTGTTGGGGTCAGAGAAAATGCTTTATGATTCTAGCTCTCTTTAAGTATGTTGATACCTGTTTCATAGCTCAGAACATGGTCATCTTGGAGAATGTTCTATGTACACTTGGAAAGAAGGTAGCCAAGAGGGTATCCTGAGAAGTATTGGGGCTGAAAGTGCCCCATGGGCTGGAGTCAGGCTTCCTGGCTGGGGGGAATGGGTGCTTTTCTGCCTACCAATGAAGGCTGAAGAAACAAAGTTGAAACTGCCCAGTTCCCATTGTTAGGCAACAATTGTATGAGAACTAGGAAAGCTACAACCTTATAGCCAGGATGCGGACAAGACTCACAGACCAGGATCTGTGTTGCAATGTGACATTCTCAGCATCACCATAGTGTGCAAGTCCTAAGCTGCCAATATAAGACCTGGTCCTGGACTAGGGGGGGCCTGGGGCGGGAGCGATGATGACCCTAAGATCACCAGACAGGACACAAGAGAGTGCAGAGAGAAGAGGAAACCTCCCTCTCAGAATGAGTCTGCAAACACTGTGAAAGATAATAAGAAAGACATGCAGCAGAAGCAGCAGTATTTGATGAGTCCCTTTAGCAAAAACAGAAATCACAGGACAATCTGAAAACTACTTTACAGGGTAACATCCAATGAAAGAAACAAGAAATTAGAAAAACTTAAAACACAAGAAACCAAACAAAAAGAGCTAAATGTGAGAAGATCTAATTAAAAAAATCAGAAAAATTAAAAAAATCTACTCAAAAGTAAAAAAATTCAGTAGGTGAGATGGACCCTAAGCTAGTAGGGAAAGTTAAATTAAGGGCTTTTGGAATGAAGGCTGCTTCAAAACCATTAGTGTCTGTGGTTGAGTACATACGGCAAAAATAAATAGTGCTAGAAAAAATGGCTCTTTTTCCATCCCATTAGGGTAATTTTAATGCATGGTTAGGAGGCTTAATATAGACAGGACAGGGAAAAGCCTTTGTGTATTCAGAGGGGGAAAAAAAGGCACTTTAGTGACTGATGTCATCAATACAGTCTTGCACTTTTTCAAGGAAGGGAGGGGAACGAACATTGTGGTATCCATCCTGTGCCCAGGGTGCTGTGCTAAGTGCTTTCCTTAAATGTTACAGCATCCTGTGAAGAAAATAGTGCTATTTTTTACAGGTGTGTAAAAGCCAAGTAACTTGCCTACAATCACACAGCTAGTATGTGGTGGTTCTAGAAGAATTCACACCAAGATGAAATTCTAAAGAGTATGTTCACCCACTATACCTCTTATTCAGGTGTTCTGACCTGCAATCGTGTGCTTCATTTTTCTGCAGCACAATCAAAATAGAACCATCTTCTTGCAATATTACAGAAACACTGGAAACTGAGTAGTAATATGTATGACAAAGCATCCAACTTTTTTGAATGGTTCTGTGTATACATGACATTTTATAATACATTAGCCCACTTTCCACCAAAAAGAACCCAGCAGCTTAATATTACAGCCCCTGATAGACAGATGAAGGAGATAAGGCCCAACGGGCTTATCTATAAAGTGGTGGAGCTAGGGTTTGGACCTCAGCTGAAAAGCCTGTGTTCTTTTACTCAACACTGGCTCTTATATACAAGTAGAGATAGTAATATTGCTTTTTCTTGTAAAAACTTTCAAGATATTAACACATTTTTTCCCAAAAAATTGAGGGATTTCCCTGGCAGTCCAGTGGTTGAGACACTGTGCTTCCAGTGCAGGTTCGATCCCTGTTCGGGGAACTAAGATTCTGTATGCTAAGTGCATACGTTGAAAAAGTTCAAACTTAAAAAAAAAAAAAACAAACCCAAAATTGAAAGTAATTGCTACTCTAGATATCATATGCAGCAATAGTAGTAGTGTTAGTCACTAAGTCATGTCTGACTGTGACCCCGTGGACTGTAGCCCACCAGGCTCCTCTGTCCATGGGATTTTCTATGCAAAAATTCTGGAGTGGGTAGACAGCCATTTCCTTCTCCAGGGGATCTTCCCAACCCAGGAATCGAACCTGGTCTCCTGTATTGTAAGCAGATTCTTTACTGTCTGAGCCACGAGGGAAACCTGTATGCAGCAGTGTCCCCTCTAAAAATAATGCCGTTCAGTGCCCAAAAGAGGAAGGGGACCTGGATTTTGGTCTTGAAGCAATCACTGATCATGTATACTTCCATGGCATGGACAAATCACCCAACATTTTTAGGTTTCTATTTTCTCGTTTTTTTTCCTATTAAATGAGGGTATTCAATTTAATTCAATTTAATGAGCTCTGAGTTTTTCTCTTGCTGTATAATTCTTTGAATTTATAGATCCTTTCAACAGAGTAGCCATAGACACTTATTTTTAGCATAATCAAGTAAAATATAAGTTTAAAAAATTGACATTATTATAGAATCTAAAAATTAATACATCAAGTAAGTGACATCACCCTCATTTCTTTAAGGTTAGGTCATTAATTCAAGTAAAGTATCTTGTCTCTTCTTGTCTTTAAATTTTCCTACTTTATTTTAGAACCAGATCACAACATCAGAACGTAAATTCTTCATAAAGCCTGTTTCAAAGAACCATATTTTTTTCTAAGGACCAGCATTGGTCTTACTCAATGAATCTTTTCATATCATCGCCAGGTTTACCAAGTTGATAAGACTTACTCCAAATTTCTACTTTAGACTGTGATTAACTTTGTACTTTACTTTCAGAACCAGCTGTTTAGCTACCGTCCCACCATTTCAAATCATAAATCAAAAATGGATGGTCTGGAAAAAGAACTGAATAACTTGAATCAAGAATTTGAAACTTTGCAAGAAAAGGTAATATATTAGGTCAATAGCATTAACTCTTTTTTTGCTTCAAAATATTGCTAGTTTTTTTCCCCCAACAACTTAATTTGTTGCTCATCAATTTACTCTTCATATAGGTTCAAATAAATTCCAGAAAAGCACAAACATTCTATAACGACATTGATCGGACAACCCAAAGTGCAAAAGAGCTGGACTCGAAGATTAAAAATGTCATCCGGAATGTGCACAGTAAGAAGAGTTACTTAGCCCAATTAAGTATCTTTTGTACTACTTTAGCTTTTGTTGTACAAAGAAAGAGTTCAGCATTATGAAAAAGAGCCTATAGAGATACTGAAAAACCAATATGAGCCCTCTATAAAAGTCTCTGCCTCTTTTCTTAGTAGTCTCCTGGAGTCCAGAATTTCCAGTTTAATAAACAGTTTGATGTTTTCCAGCTCTCGTGAAGCAGGTATCTGGGACGGAGGGAGATGGAAACAGGGTGCCTTCAGGTGATTTTTCCAGAGAGCTGGCTGAAGCTGGGCGCATGATGAGGGAAATGAGGACCCGCAACTTCGGGAAGCAGCTGAGGGAGGCTGAAGCTGAGAGAAGAGAGGCTCAGCAGTGTAAGGACCCTTCCAAACGCGTGCATCCAGTCTGTTCTGATTGGCTTGACATACAGGGTGCAGAGTACGCCGTGCCAGGTTGGGGGAGGGGTCACCATTTCAGCATCTAGTACTAGTAGAGTATCACGTGGTACAAATGGGTGGCCCTTCCAGGTTACTGAGAGGTTGTGGAATAGAACATCTTTTTTTAAAAGAAGTTTATTAAATTATAGTTGATTTACAATGTTGTGTTAATTTCAGCAGTGATTCAGTTATGCATGTGTACACACACACACACACACACACATATATATATAGAAATGTTTTCCCATATTCTTTTCCATTATGATTTATCACAGGGTATTGAATACGGCATAGCTCTCTGTGCTATGCAGTAGGACCTTGTTTATCCATCCCATATATAATAGTTTGCAGCTACTGACCCCAAACTCCCAATTCCTCCCTCCCCCACCCCCTCCTACTTGGCAACCACAAGTCTGTTCTCCATGTCTATGAGTCTGTTTCTGTTTTGTAGATATGTTCACTTGTGAACATATCACAAATTTAGATTTAGAATCCACATGTAAGTGATATCATGTAGTATTTGTCTTTCTGGCTTTCTTTGCTTACTTTGATAATCTCTATGTCTACCCAAGTGGCTGCAAATGGCATTATTTCATTTTTTAATGGCTGAATAATATTCCACTGTATATTATACACATATGTATACATATACACACCACATCTTTATCCATAGAATAGAATATCTTACCATCATGCAAAAAAATAGTTCCTCCTCCTTAATGTTAGACACTAATACCTCTATTTTGTTTTTAACTGTATTTTCGTTTTTCTTTAAGCTCTATTGCTTTCTCATTATATCATTTTTTTTTTTCTTTCACGTCAGATGGGTAATGTGCCAGTGTTGTAACAAGGTTTGCAGGGAGGCACATGTCATGCAGCAGTGTGAACACCCAATTATCACGCTCATGAACTACAAAAGGATCCATTATATCATTTTTAATAGTCCCCTCATCACCATTGGGGTTTTGAATCATACATTGATATTCGCATTACTACTACCAAAAAAAAAAATAGATGTATTAGAAATTAAGGGAATATATCTAAAGATTTGGATTAAGGAAAATGCCACATTAACTCAAAACTTTAAAAATAATAGGCCTATATTTTTCCACATACTGAGCTTCATTCTGGAGTGGAATGACATATCAGTGGTTAATCTATAAACAGTGACATCTCTCTTTTAGCATTTGTATTGTTTAAATTTAATGTTAGCCTTGGAGACAGTATTAGTAATAGAAGGAGCATGTGCTTTATATTTATACTCTGCAAGTTCAGTTCCAGTTCCAAGGCTGAAACCTTGTCACCTAATTTCTCAGGCCATCCATTTTCTTACTTGAAACATGAGATAATCACTGTCTTCATGTGGTTGTCATAAAAGTTAATTGAGACAATGTGTACAGGGCACAACATAACATAAACACTAGCCTCCTTTCTCATTCCGTTGCAAGCTCAAGGAAAACTGTGAAGTGAGTAGAAAATCAATTTTTCTGTAGTCTTTATGACTTAGTGTCAATGCACTCATTTCTCAAATGGAAAACAAAAAGGTGATCTGTTTCAGTGCTGAATCAGATAAGGAGCTGGCCGGAAAACCACCAGGTGGAGAACAATGGATTGGCGAAGAATATACGAGATGCTTTAAATGATTATGAAGCCAAACTCAGTGGCCTCCGTGCTGCTCTACAGGAGGCCAGCGCCCAAGCAAAGCAGGCCACCGGCCTCAACCGAGAAAATGAGAGGGCTTTGGAATCCATCAAGGTGAGGTCGTGGTCAGAATCTGCACCATTCGGTTAAGGACAAGCAAAAGGGAGCAGGGAGCTTTAATGTTAATCAGGTGGCAGAGTCAGGAACCTGTCTGTGTGGGAAATCCTAATCAAAGAGGAACAAGGCATTAAATGCAAAATCAAAGTATCTCTTACTCCTCAATGGCCAGAAGAGTTTCTGAACTTAAACCATAGGGAAAGCAGACCCAATCACTTCACCCCAACTCCTGACTGGTAGAGGACTGGAGGAATAATGCTGCCAAATAGTTGAGAAATTGCTATTGTTATAACTAATTCAAAGTATATAATATATGTTTTAAATAACTGACTTTTTGTGTCGTATATGTGTGTGTTAATCACTTAGATGTGTCTGACTCTTTGCGACCCATGAACTGTAACCCGCCAGGCCCCTCTGTCCACGGGGATTCTCCAGGCAAGAATACTGCGTTGCCATGCCCTCCTCCAGGGAATCTTCCAGACCCAGGGATCAAACCCAGGTCTCCCACGTTGCAGATGGATTCTTTACCATTGAGCCAGGGAAGCCCAAGAATACTGGAGTGGGTAGCCTATCCCTTCTCCAGGGGCACATCCTGACCCAGGAATCGAACCGGGCCTCCTGCATTGCAGGCGGATTCTTTACCAGCTGAGCTACCTGGGAAGCCCAACATAGGACTGACCCACTCCCCCCACCCCAGGAAAGAGGAATTTGGTAAAAGAAAATGAATGGTATCTTTGCATATGGTAATATGGTTAACTCCCAAAGCCTCTGCAGGTTAACACCTCTGTTGGATTATGCCAAGGGGAGGGAGCAGGACCCAATTTTATGGATCTCTGAATTCTGGCAGCCTCCACCCTGGTTTCCTAAGGGCTTGTGTGCTTTCTTAGTTAGTTTTTTTTTGGCTGCACCGTGCGGCATGTGGAATCTTAGTTCTCAGACGAGGGATTGAACCTGCGTTCCTTGTATCGGAAGTGCAGAGTCTTAATCACTGGACTGCCAGGGAAGTCCTCTTGTGTGCTTTCTTATTGAAATGTCCCTGCATCTTCGTCAGGACCAACATGTAGAGTGTACTGATGGTGCTGATTTGCTTAGTTCAGCTCCCTCATCCTGATCCACTAACCAGAGCTTAATTATGCATCCACCTCACTGGCCTGGTTGGCCGTAGTGTAGAAACCTCCTCCAATGCAACAGCAGTTGTTTCGTTGTCAGGTAGCTTGTGGAAACTATGACAACACCTCCACACGACAAGTTGAACTTATGTCTCATGACTTAGGAGTTGCCTAGATGATCTTTAAGTTCAAGAAGACATTTTGACTCTGAAATTACCTCTATGCTGTTGTCCAATAAATATGCCTGTGCCTTCTGACAATATATCATGCAGCTCACAGATCCTCTTTTTCTCTGCAGAGACAAGTTAAAGAAATGAATTCCCTCCAGAGTGACTTCACCAAGCGTCTAGCCACAGCAGATTCTTCCTTAATGCAAACTAATATTGTCCTGCAATTGATGAAGAAAAGCCATGAGGTAGAGGCAAAACTTGTTTTCTAGAAACCCGAAAAGCATGTAAATTACATTTTGAGGAACTTATGAGATAGGCTAAACATTTTTTTCCCTCAAATATATGTCTTTAGATGGAAGAAAATATACCAAAATGTTAACAGCGGTTGTCCCTTAAGGGAGGGGTGAATGATGTGTCTTCTTTTTTTTTCTCCCAAACTTTAAACTTTTTATCTTGCATTGGGGTATAGCTGGTTAAGAGTGCTGTAGTAGTTTCAGGTGGAAAGGGAAGGGACTCAGCCATTCATACACATGTATCCATTCTCCCCCCACCCACCTCCATCCAGGCTGGCAGGTAACAGTGAGCAGCGTTTCATGTCTTTGCTGGTTATCCATTTAAAATAAAGCAGTGTGTACATGACCTCCCCAAAGTCCCTAAGTATCCTTTCCCCCCAGCAACCATAGGTTTGTTTTATATCTATTTGCCCATCTACCTACCTAATTTGCCTGCAATAAGTGAACGTTACTTTTGTAATAAAAACAAATTGTGCTAGCATTTTTTAAATGTCATTTTCACCAATGAGATGAATAAGGTCTGAGGAGCTAATATAAAACAAAAAAAGTGACTCTAGTTGATAACACTGCATTGTATAACTGAAATTGGTTACAAAAGTAGAATTTAAATCTTCTCACCTTCACCCCCACCCTCAAAGAAAGTAAGAGCATAAAATATGAGGTGATTGATGTGTTAACTTGGTGGGGGGAAATCCTTTCATAGTGTATACATATATCCAATCATCACTCTGTACACTTTAAATATCTTACAATTTTATGTCACTTATACCTTCTTGAAGCTGAAAAGCAATTAAAAATAAAATAAATCAGGCGTGCGTTAATTAACAGAAGGCATTTAGGACTGGTAAAAGATTGGCAATATTTCTCAGAAGCCCACTGGGCATTTTGAAAATATCTTTTATGATCACTGTTTCTAAATCAGAAAAAGTGTTTAGGTTTAGTACAGTGATATGCTAAGGATAATAATGTGCTTTTATAAAATTCATCAAAGTGGGTACCCACCATATGGAAAATGCTCAAAATGGTAGTGAAACTCGGGAGAATATTCACAGTGCCACTGTGTGAAGTAACCAGGTGTGGTGAATGGGCTCAGGAAACAATTTCTCACTGTTACTTCCTGGAAACCTCATTTATGACAGAGTTCAAGAAAATGGCATATCCGTGCTTTGCTTAAATTGACACTATCTCTTGTTTACTTGGAAAATACAGGAGTATGAAAAATTAGCTGTCACTTTAAATGAAGCCAGACACGAACTAAGTGACAAAGTGAGAGAACTTTCCAGATCGGTCAGCAGAGCACCTCTGGTGGGGGAGGCAGAGAGGCACGCGCAGTCCCTCCAGGAGCTGGCCACGCAGCTGGAGGAGTGAGTGGGCCGCCGGGGGTCTGACCGCAGGGGCTGCTGGAGCCTGGGAGGAAGTAGGGACCAGGGTGGGGGGCGGCGCCCAGGGCCCAGGGCCGAACCCAGCTGGTTCCCAGCTGCACCTTTGGAGCAGAGCCTCGGAGCCCACAGCCCCGAATCTCCGTCGGCCAAATGAATGGGGAGGTAGGGGGCTTGGCTGCAGGCAGAGGCCCTAGCTGGAGCCCTCCTCCCGTACCACTTTCCAGGATCAAGAGGAACGCCAGTGGGGATGAGCTGGTGCGCTGTGCCGTGGACGCTGCCACCGCCTACGAGAACATCCTCAACGCCATCAAAGCGGCCGAGGATGCAGCCGACAAGGCCACCACTGCATCTGAGGCTGCTCTCCAGGTGGGCACCTGCCGTGACGCCTTCTCTCAACACACTCTGGAGATGACTCACTTTTCTGTTTTCTTTCTGTATACACCAGGGAATAGGAAAAAACAAAGCTTATTTTAGATCAGAATTTGTTATGTAGAATAGCCTTGCACTTGCTCTGTCATTTCTGTATTTACTTGGCTTTTGGATAAACATAGCCCAGTATTCAAAATCATTTGTAAAACCAGATAATAATCACCCTGATTATTGATTTTGAACCATGGAAGTATTATACCCTGATTCTTACCAGGTATGCTTTTAAGCTGTGTGATCAGGTATCAACATTTACCAAAGAAGAGATTGTTGTACACAATTTGAGAACCATTTATTTCCTGTCATTTGTCATTCACCTGGGTGTGTCTGTGGATCCTATGGGATCTGAAATGCATTATATAATAGGCCTATATCTAAAAATAAAGAACAAGTTATTAACTATGAGAGAATTCGTGAACAGACTTCTTGGAAGGTTGAAGGTTTTTAATGTCCCAAAGATTAAAAGCCTAAAAGTAATTCAGCTTTGTCCTCTATTATTGCAGAGGGCATTGTACAAGTGACAGTGAGAAAATGAGAAGGTATCACATAATTTATCATTATGTCAACAGTGATGGGTCCACCTCCCCAAGCCACAAATGTCTACCTAGAGCCCTTACTGTAGCTTTTAAGGAACAGTCTTTTTAAACCTCTGCCTTCCCTTCTAGCCTCATTCTTTAAAGATTAAAGATAAGGGCTAGGATGAAAACTCTTACTCCATATTTCCTAATGTATGTATCACATTTAAGACTAACAAATGCTCTGCTTTCAGACAGTAATAAAGGAAGATCTTCCAAGAAAAGCGAAAACTCTGAGTTCCAGCAGCGATAAACTGTTAAACGAAGCCAAGATAACACAGCAGAAGCTACAGCAAGGTATGGAAGGGGTAGCTGTTGGGGGCTGGGATTGTCAAGGGCTTGGAAACAATCTATGAGACCAGGAGCAAATGCACTTCTTGAATCTCAGTGTCCTTGTAGGTGATACTTTGTAAATTTATTGATTTGATGTTTCTACCCTTCCCAGGTGGTGCTAGTAGTAAAGAATCCGCCTGCCCATGCAGGAGATGCAAGAGATATAGGTTCCATCCCTGGGTTGGGAAGATCCCCTAGAGAAGGAAATGTCAACCCATTCCAGTGTTCTTACCTGGAAAATCCCATGGACAGAGGAGCCTGTTGGGCTACAATCCATGGGGTCACAGAGTCAGACATGACTTTGCAACTGACTACCACCAGCTGATATTCTAACATAAGTCAAATTAACTAGAGTCTCATGAGTATAAATAAATCTTGAGACTGATAGGCTTGTTTGGGTCTGGCCTTGGGTTTGGGAGAGGGGATTCTTCATTTAATCCCATATGCACATAGCATTGGGGACCCACGTAGCTTTGAGGTGGGTACAGTGCTGCTGTCTTATTTAAGGGCCAGATAAGTAGTTTCAAGTCATTAGATCAACTGCTTCAAAATTTCTTAAGCCCTAAAATATTAGTAAGTAAAAGCATGAAAAATCACTACCACTGTGATATATGAGGATTTTAAAAGTTTTGCCTTTGAATTTTTCCCTTTATTTAATTTGATTAAAAAAAAATTAAACCATCTCAATCTCACCAAATTCCTGTGTTCAGAAAATGCTGACCCTTGATTTTCTCTGGTCTGCTGTGGTCATTCATAGTGAACAACTATCTCAGCTCATAGCCCTCATTCACCTTCTTAATCCTTTCAAAGTGATTAGGTACCTTCTACTGGTAAATAAATACATTTATTTATCATTTTCAAAAATTAAAATGAAAAATAAATATGAAAACATGAAAAAGAAAATACAAAAAAATATGTAGTCTGCCTAGCACATTTCAAAAATTAAAATTTCCTGTTGTCTTTACAAAATCTGAGCTAAAAGGTGATCTGTGTTTTTAAAAGGATTAGGATGTAAACTACATTGTTATTTAAACTAGTCCTGGAATCACAGTTTAAGCCATATGTCATCAGCTCGATATTAAAGCATTCACTGGTTGTTTTCCATGACCCCCAAGGGGCAATATTATCAGCTAGAAATGCCTGTAAGCTTTGTTCCTTTCAGTGAATGTGTCCTTGAATGTGTCAGTTTGGAAGTGAATGGAAACGGTGCCTGCTTTGTGTGTGTGTGTGTTTGCTTTAGTGGGGCTGTCTCAACAACAGTCCTTTACTCTTTTTTTAAAAAGGCATTTTATTTATTTATGGCTGAGCTGGGTCTTTGTGGTTGCTCAGGCTTTCTCTAGTAGTGGAGAGCAGGGGACTGCTCGTAGTTGCCGTGTGCAGGCTTATTGCGGTGGCTTCTCTTCTTGGCGGGCATGGGCTCTCGGGCACTCGGGCTTCAGGCGTCATGGCACATGCTCTCAGTAGCTGCGGCTCCCAAGCTCTGGAGCACGGGTAGTTGTTGTTCAGTAGTTGTTCCTCGGCATGTGGGCTCTTCCTGGATCAGGAATCAAACCCCTGTTTCTTGCGTTGGGAGGTGGACTCTTTACCACTGAGCCACCAGGAAAGCCCAATATTCCTTCACTCTTGACCGAAGGGGCATCCCTTATGCATTATTCATTCATTAATTTATTCATACATGCATTCGCTTGTTCCATAAATACATACTAATATTAAACCCCGAAGAGTGCCAGCCATGGCATCATGCCCTGGACACAGCAGTGAGTAAGACAGACACATCCCTTTCCTTGGGTGTCCCTTGTATCTCAGTTGGTAAAGAATCTGCCTACAATGCAGGAGACCTGGTTTCAATTCCTGAGTCTGGAAGATCCCCTGGAGAAGGAAACAGAAACCCACTCTAGTATTCTTGCCTGGAGAATCCCATGGACAGAGGAGCCTGGTGGGTTACCGTCCATGGGGTTGTAGGAGGCTGACATGACTTAGTGAGTAGACCAGCACCACCATCCCTTTCCTCTACTAAGCAGAGACTTTTGCCCTGAGCAGAGCGGAAGTTAAGTCTTCCCTTGAGTTGGTAGGCCTTTCCCTTTCTTCATGTGCATTTCCAAGGAGCCTGGTACCACCGGCTCTGTATGCTCCTGGCCTCTATAATAGAGGACCTGGGGGTCTAGGAGCAAGCAGTGGGCATCTTGGGGATGACCCCTAAGATGCAGGCCTGCTCAGTGCTGTGCAGACCCTGGCTACTTCAGGGGCCACCAGTACCCGTGGAGGATCAAGATCTTTAGGCTAATTGCCTCTTCCTACTTTATTTCAGAAATCAGCCCAGCTCTCAACAACCTGCAGCAAACACTGAAAACTATGACCATTCAGAGAGGCCTGATAGACACCAATCTCACCAGCATCCGAGGTGATCTTCATGGAATACAGAGAGGTCAGCCGCCCCCTAACCCACTGGACTTGGCTTATTTTGTCAAAGATTTTAGAGACTGACACCTCCCTGTTTGTATGTGCCTTAGATGACATCGATGGCATAATCAATAGTGCAAAGAGCCTGGTCAGAAATGCCAATGATATCACAAATGAGGTTCTAGATGGGCTCAACCCCATTCAGACAGATGTGGAAAGAATTAAGGATACCTATGGAAGCACCCAGAGCGAAGACTTCAACAAGGCTCTCAGTGATGCGGATAATTCAGGTAGCAGGTGTTCTCTGGCCAGGATGTATTATCCATTTTCTCCATCATTATGTGCTTTGGTCTGTTGTAATTTCTCCCCAGTAAAATCTGATCTTAGAAATTAAAATATTAAGAAACAACTTCATATGATCCATTCAAAGAATATGGCTATTCTGTTAGTTAAAAGGACCAAGTAGGACTTTGGAGGAGCCAAAGTGATTGGCAGTGGAAAGAATCAGAACATGTGAAATTCCTTAAAAATTTTTATTGACTTAAATAATTTTGCCTATGTCACACATGATTAGAAAAAAAACCTGTACACTTTGAAAAAAATTCATGAAATATTGCTATTGATTTTCCCTTTTATAAAGATATAGTCCCTGAATCATGAACACTTGAATTATGATTAATATTAAAGGTCAAAAAGGAAAAATTTATTTATTTTTTAATTGAAGGATAATTACAGTGTTATGTTGGTTTCTGTCATATATCAACATGGATCAGCCATAGGTATACATGGCTACCTATTTCAAGGGAAGGGTCCCTCCCCCTTGAAAGATTTACTTTTATAGTGTCAAGAAAGATGATTTGATATCCAGAATAAAATCTATAATGTGTTTACATATTATACATAGAAATATGTATAACATATATTTCTATAATAGAGAAAAAGTATTACCTGATTCTGAGTCATCCTATCCAATGTGTGGGACCCAATCATACCACTTGACAAATACAATCCACTAGAACATCTCTATTTAACCTTTTCTCAACTCACAATGATAAATTTCTGTTTTGTAATCTCACCAACAGTGAAGAAATTAACCAACAAACTGCCTGATCTTTTGAGTAAAATTGAAAGTATCAACCAACAGCTGTTGCCACTGGGCAACATCTCTGACAATGTGGACCGCATACGGGAACTAATTCAGCAGGCCAGAGATGCCGCAAATAAGGTGGGTGTGCCCCTCATTGCCAGACTCCAAGGCTCATTCTTTGATAAGTTACTCTATTCATTAAGTGAAAGATGCCTAGGTACTCAAGAATTGGTTGTCTTTCTTGCCCAAATTCTTTGGGTTCTCCCCATGTGAAAGTTCATTTCCTCCCATCATCTTTCAGAAGTTCACATCATCTTCATCCACTAAATAACCTGGTATGCCTGGGACAGTGGTTTCCTTTCCACTGGCTTATGCAGGCAGGAAGCAGCGTTCTCCTCCAGACTCTAGGCAGTAAAGTGTTATTGGAAGTTCAAGTAAGGGTTCTATGATCAGAACGTGCAGATATGATACTGCACAAGCCCTATCTTCTCACGGTGACTCGGAAATTGTAGAATCCACTTTTAGTGAGGTTGGAGGAGAGGTTCCTGCCCACATGGGCAGTGTTCTGAGTATGACATTACAGCAGTTTTCCTTCATTGGGAAGTTGCATCAACCTTTCTTCTAATTTTAATCTGACATTATTTACTTGAATTTCTGACACTTCTCTCCCAATTTGTTTTATCCTAAAATAATGTAAATGAAATATTTTGTATATTTCAGCCAACTCCCTATGAGATATTTGGAGATAAGTGGGATGGAAACCAAGTCAAAATATCATTGCCTTTGAGGCACCATGGTTGATTTCTAGGCTTATATTCCTTACTTTGAGCCTCAAAATCTGCCTTTTCTTTTAAGAGAGAGAACTTCCAACACAAAACCTTTGGCAGAAAAGCAGAGGCACAGTTTGGCAGAAACCACCCTCTTTGTACCCATACACATCTTATAAGAAGCAAATGGAAAAGAGTGTGCTTCTAGCTTTTGCCTCTCTCTGTTCATCCACTAATTTAATGAACAAAATATGAAGTGTGTAAATAGCGCAGAGGTATAGAGCTGATAACCAAGGCAGACTGCCTTGCTTTTATGTTTTCCGATATTTATTTATTTATTTGACTGCATCAGGTCTTAGTTGCTGCACGTAGGATCTTCACTGCAGCGTGGGTTTCTCTCTGTTTGTAGCATGTGAGCTTAGTTGCTCTGAGGCATGTGGGTTCTTAGTTCTCCAACCAGCGACTGAAGCTGCGTCCCCTGCATTGGAAGGTGGATTCTTAACTACTGGACCACCAGGGAAGTCCCCAGACTGCCTTGTTTTGATCCCTGCTCTGTCACTTACAAAGCTAAGACTAGTTTCAGTTCATAGATAGATAATATTTCATAAAAATATTAAAGCACACATGAGAAGCTATGCGGGAATCCAGATCCAGGGTAGTGGTGACCTCTGAGAAGGGAGAGGCAGCTAGGACTAGGGTGGGCTACATAATGGGCTTCAATTATAACAGTCACATGTAATTTCTTAAGGTGGCCATGTGTATGCAGGTATATTCTCTATTTTTGTGTGTTCATGAAATGTTTTCTTAATTAAAAATTTTTTTTTAATGAGCAAGAGTTTTCCCAGTGACAAAAGCAGAAAGGCATGCCACAGACTCAGGATGTGTGTAGTGTATGAAGGGCAGAGGGTGAGTAGAAGAGACAGGTGTAAGCACCTTGGAGTGACTGCAGCTCAGGCATCTCTAAGCACCCCTGCCTGATGCCTGCCTAGACAGGGTCCTCCGTAAATACATGCTTGGGAGATAAAATGTAGAGGTGGTGTATGTATCATTTCTAGAGTTATTCTTTAGATAGTTAGAGAATATTTATTTTCTGTGTTTTAATGCAGAGCTACCCAAGGGGATCCACAGACCAGAGCTGGTCAGACGTTTGTTACTGCTTCATTATATATAAGTACAAAATTGAGAGTAAAGGCTTAGAAGCTTTCAGTAACTTGAATTGCTTCAATATCCCAGAATGGGATCAGTAGGCTTATATTTTACACACTTTCTTCATTTCATTTTTCTAGTATTTAAGTTTTCATATATTTTACAAAAGTACTGGTCCAGGGCAGATAACAGGGGAAAAAAATGGTCCTTTACCCTGAATTTAAGAAGCACATTCTAGAGAGCCTTGATGCACTTATTTTTAAGGACTGAGTGCTTATAATAAATGCAACCAGAACATATAATATATTAATGAGAATTATTAATATGTATTATAACCCTAATTATATATAACTCCCTATATTAGTTATATTATGTATTATATAATATTTATATTATATATTATGTATCATATTATGTGTCATGTTATATATTATATGTAAAACCTCATTATTATAATACATTAATATATTATGATGATGGTGGTGGTATTATTATGACATTAATATGGCTAATATTATATTAAACTTCTAACCATAATACTGATGGTAATAATTTACTTTAATGCTTATTGTTGCTGGCACAGACAACAGAGTGCAGCTCCCAAAGACCCTTGGCTCGTAGGCAGGAAGAACAGGAGGGCTTTACTCCCCGACTCCTGGAGCGGCTGCCTGAGTGTGGACTCCAGGCCTGGGGGACAGCTATACATCTTCACTCCCTGTTGTAGCTACTTGGGAGCAGCTGCAGTCGCAAGCCTCCACCCCGAGCACCCCACCTTTCTCCCCTGGACCAGCTAACACCGTGGATCTGGTCCCTCGCAGGTCGCTGTCCCCATGAGATTCAACGGTAGATCTGGAGTTGAAGTCCGGCTGCCAAATGACCTGGAAGACTTGAAAGGATACACATCTCTTTCTTTGTTTCTCCAAAGACCTGAATCAACAGAAAGTGGTGGGACTGAGAATATGTTTGTGATGTACCTCGGAAATAAAGATGTAAGTATTGCTCTGACATTTCCCTGGTTTTTAAAACAGAAAATGGCTTTTGAGGTGCGTGACACAGCCATGTCACTGCCATGCCAATGGCAGGAGATCCCACTGCCTCTGATGGCTCCATGGGAGATCTCTCATCAATTTAAAGTTGTTTTTGGAGGCGGGGATCTAGAAGCCTTGCCAGATGGGCCCAGCATGTGAGTACATGTGTGTGTCCACCTGAGCACGTCCATACCTGGGACTGAAGATCAGCACCCTCTCCTCTCAACCAGGCAGCAGTATCAAGGCTTTCTGGAGATCAGGGCAGCTCTTCCTCACAGCTCTGGACTCGGTCCTCTTCTCAGGGTGCCCAGCCGCAGACCCTCCCGTGTCTCTGGGGTGGGGACCCTCTGTGAATGAGGCCTGGAGAGAAATTAAGCCTCTCCTGCCTCATTAGTGAGAAACCCAATTGCTTCAATGCTACAATTCTAAATTCTTTAAACCACCACTGTTAAAGATATTTTAAGCAGTTTATTTTAGCTTTTAATTCCTCCTCTTAAAATATATCTCTTCCACGTAAGTGTCAGAGGAACAGGTAATCACTGACTAGGTTATTTATACATGAATGGAAAAGAAATGGGCATCCCAGGTGGCTCAGTGGTAAAGAATCTGCCCACCAGAGCAGGAGATGCAAGACATGCGAGTTTGATCCCTGGGTCAGGAAGATCCCCTGGAGAAGGAAATGGCAACCCACTCCAGAATTCTTCCCTGGGAGATCCCACGGACAGAGGAGCCTTGCAGACTACAGTCCCTGAGATCACAGAGAGTCGGCCACTACTGGGAGACTGAACACATATGCATGGAAAAGAAATGCCTGAAGTCTGTCTGGTTCTTGAAAATTCTGGGCAGTTAGCAAATTGTTGGCCGTCACTAGTGGACATTGTATTTAAGGATTCCTAAAATCAGCACTGTTGTTGGTTACTCGTTCATGCTTCAAGGATTGGGGATTTATTTGTAACTTTCTTATGACTCTGCTTTGTATTATGGCAGAAGGCACATGACTTTATTCCTTCAACAAATATATGATATATCTACTACATGCCACACCCTGTATTTATGTAAACAAAAATTTGTTTCTTGAATGTACTTAATGTATACTTAAAACAGGTTAAAATAGTAAATTTCATGTTATGTATATTTTACTACAGTTTTCAAAAATTTGTTTTTACGTTAAGGTGCTCATATTCTAACAGGGAAGAAAGATCCATACATAGCTGACATAATAACATAGAGCGAACAAGCATGCCCAGAGTATTGCGGGGACCCTGGCATAGGAAGAACATAAATGGCTTATCTTCCTTCCCAGAATGAAACTGAATGGCAACCTGAGCCCGTATCTGGTTCATCTTTATGTCAGGTGCTTGGCAAATACTTGCAGATTGAGCGAATGGAGGAGTGGATAAATGAATGCCCTCCTGATAACATGAACAAAGACAGCCCAGACATTGTTAATTAACTGTGCTGTCTGTATTATTTTATACCAGAATGTACGTCATTCATTCTGTCTGCCCAGGGCTGACTAAATGAAAGCTGTTAGCTATTTGAAATGCACCCTCTGGGGATGGTGAGTTCGGAGAATACAGTATGTGAAATGCCTTGGTGTCTCCAGGCCTCCAGGGACTACATCGGCATGGCTGTTGTAGACGGCCAGCTCACATGCGTCTACAACCTGGGAGAGGATGAGGCTGAACTCCAAGTGGACCAGGCCTTGACCGAAAGCAAAACTCAGGAGGCGGTGATGGACCGGGTAAAATTCCAGAGGTATAAGTCTGATTACAGCTCTTTGGTAATCTGACCTATGGTCACCAAACTTTAATTTTATATTGCTGAACCCCCATTAAGTACTTTAGCTTTGATTTATTTCATCTCCTCATAAGTCTTTTACAACTTTATTGTCTGACTTATTTTTTAAACAGAATTTATCAGTTTGCAAGGCTTAATTACACCCTAAAAGCCACCTCCAGTAAACCAGAAACACATCAATTCCATGACATGGATAGTGGGAATAGCAACACACTTCTCAATTTGGATCCTGAAAATGTCGTGTTCTATGTTGGAGGTTACCCATCTGATTTTAGAGTAAGTTCAAATGTTATTTCACAGAATGGAAATATTTAAAATTTAATTTGGCATAATGATGTTTTAATCAGTTATATATAAAATGGATTTAATGATATATTCTTCATGCATCTATAGTGATAATTACTAAACTTATTGAATTCTTTTTTTTTAAACTTATTGAATTCTTTTATATGCAGTGATCTAGGCTTAGGTGTATAATTTAAATAAGCATCATTATCATTCCTATTTCACAGATGACAGAACTGAAACAGAGAGGTTGAATAACTTGCCCAGGATCAGACAGCTAGAAAACAGCGAAGCCAGGGCATCTGTCTTCAGGGTCCATATGCTCACCCCTATGCTATATTGATGGTTAAAAGCGATAGAGTTAAACTATTTCTCAGTCAACCTCATCATTGTCCTTTGTTCAGTTGGTAAAAACTTTTTTTTTGTTTTTTTTTTCAGCCTCCTAGTAGACTGAGATTCCCTGCATACAAAGGTTGTATTGAATTAGATGACCTCAATGAAAATGTTCTGAGCTTGTACAACTTCAAAAAGACTTTCAATCTCAACACAACAGAAGTGGAGCCTTGTAGAAGGTAAATAAAACCTAGAAGCTGGTGTGTCTCTGTGATTTTGCAGTCATATAGCATAAAAAGCATATGTAATTTATACTTAAGGAATACAAATTAAATAAGGAAAAGTCTTTTCCTTATTCATATCAAATATTAAATGGACAGAATTTTCTTGATTTTGAAAAAAATACATCTTTCTTCAGTTTTTGGTGCCTCCTACCACAAAATATTCAGCATTAGATGGTGCCTGATTTAGAGCACAAACTATTTATTTTACTGTAAACTTTTTAAAAAGTAAAACAGTAGTCCATAAAGAACACCATGACTTTGGCATATGAACCTATTTGAAAGTTGCTGATGGGAAGATTCTAATATGAGACAGATTGAGTGTTTATTACTCAGAATAAAATTTTATTTCATTATACATTATTTCTTACATTGCAAGACCTTCAGCTGCTGGGTCATGTTTTCCTAAGCAGATGTTTGCAATAGGGTCTCCTGAATAGCCTCTCTGTTGAGGTAGAGTTTGATCATCATAGAGTATAAGAGCAGATCCAGGAGATACAGTGGACTGCTTCGACATTAAATTTAAAGATGTTTCCTCTTCTCTAACAAAATATGACAACTTGATTGCACAGACTTTGCTCGCTTTTTCATCAATAAGGATAGTTTCCTGGCAGTCTTTTGCTGCTGTGTTCTCACTTAACGATGATTGGTGTTGACAGGAGAAAAGAAGAATCAGACAAAAATTATTTTGAAGGTACAGGCTATGCTCGAGTTCCAACTCAACCAAATGCCCCCTTCCCCACCTTTGGACAGACAATTCAGACCACTGTGGACAGAGGTTTGCTGTTTTTTGCAGAAAACAAGGTAACGTATGACAAACATCCAGATATTACCAAATATGTCCATTCATTTGAACAATTTTGGGGTAACTGAGTTATTATAAACAAACAATGTATCTGAAAAACAATGTGTAAATGTTAGCTGCATCCTTTCCCTTAGCCCATCTCTGTTGGATTGGCCAAAAATGTTCATTTCTATAACATTTTACAGAAAAACGCAAATGAAATTTTTTGGCCAACCCAGTACTTCCTTTGGCTGTGTGAATGTGTGTTTTGGTAAGGCAAGTCATCCAGAATTTGAGACGATGCCACCGAAAAGTGGGAGAAATTGCCACTTACCCATTCTATTTGCATTGTCAGTTTTATTCTTTGAAAACTACTGTTTGCCTAATAATCTTTGCTTATTCTGCCTAAAAAAAAAATGTTAAGTCTTCCTGGGGTCTCTGAAAGCTAGGCTGTTCGACCTTCTGCTGTTTGCTTCTTGGTCTGACTCTTTTCAGGCCGTAAGAGATTTCATCTCTATCTGCCTGAACCTTGACTTTCCAAGACATGGAGGCTTCTCTGTTTTCAAGCAGCTGAGGTTCCGGGAGACCATACTGACATCTCCTAGTTTAGAAAAGGCCAAAAGTGACTGAGTGATCATCAGCACCATCTGCTGGTAGATAGGCCTAGACTTAAACTCTCTAGAGAATGAGCTCTTCTTGAAGATGCTGCATAGGACATGTCATTGTTCAGTCCCTCAGTCGTGTCTGATTCTTTGTTACCCCATGGACTGCAACACACCAGGCTTTCCTGTCCTTTACTGTCTCCCAGAGTTTGCTCAAACTCATGTCCATTGAGTCAAGAGATGCCATCCAGGCATCTCATCCTCTGTCACCGCCTTCTTCTTCTGCCCTAAATCTTTTCCAGCACCAGGGTCTTTTCCAGTGAGTTGGCTTTTCACATCAGGTGGCCAAAGTATTGGAGTTTCAGCTTCAGCATCAGTCCTTCCCATGAATATTCAGGGATGATTTCCTTTAGGATGGACTGGTTGGATCTCCTTGCAGTACAAGGGACTCTCAAGAGTCTTCTCCAGCACCACAGTTCGAAAGCACCAGTTCTTCAGTACTCAGCCTTCTTTATGGTCCAACTCTAATATCCATACATGACTACAGGAAAAAACATAGGTTTGACTGTATAGACCTTTGTAAGCAAAGTGGTGTCTCTGCTTTTTAATAAGCTATCAAGGTTTGTCATAGCTTTTCTTCCAAGGAGCAAGTGTCTTTTAATATCATGGTTACAGTCACCATCCATAGTGATTTTGGAGCCCAAGAAAATAAAATCTGCCACTGTTTTCATTTTTTCCCCATCTGGTTGCCATGAAGTGATGGGACTGGATGTCATGATCTTATTTTTTTTAGTGTTGAGTTGTAAACCAGCCTTTTCACTCTTCTTTCACCTTCATCAAGAGGCTTGGAGAAATGTGGACCAGTCCATGGTATTTTCAGTTTGAGAATGCAGGATCGATGTGGAGCTTGAGATTTTACCAGACACTTTGCCTGCAGGGTGGGGACACAGACCTGGTCCACCTCTCCTCTCTTGTGGTTCTTCTGGACTCCTAGGGAGAGTCCAAGGATGAACCAGTTCTGATGGTTTGGGGACATCCTGACCTGCCTGAAGAATACAGAGAGCTGAGAAGTCACATAGCACCTTCAGGGCAAGGCAGTTTTCTGCAACAGGGTCTTCTTTGTACTAGGTTTGGCCAAACATTTTGTAAGATGTTACAGAAAAACCTAAATGAATTTTTTGATCAACCCAATACATTTTGAAGTTCTTGGAGACTAAGAATCAGAAATACTATATATGTTAGAAGAAATCTTATGAAATACCGTTCAGTTCAGTTCAGTTCAGTCACTCAGTCATGTCTGACTCTTTGCGACCCCATGAATCACAGCACGCCAGGCCTCACGGTCCATCACCAACTCCCAGAGTTTACTCAAACTCATGTCCATCGAGTTGGTGATGCCATCCAGCCATCTCATTTTCTGCCATCCCCTTCTCCTCCTGCCCCCAATCCCTCCCAACATCAGGATCTTTTCCAGTGAGTCAACTCTTCGCATGAGGTGGCCAAAGTACTGGAGTTTCAGCTTCAGCACCAGTCCTTCCAATGAAATGCCATTAGTAACCAGATAAAAGGAGCTTCCTAGTAGCTCAGTTGGTAAAGAATCTGCCCGCAATGCAGGAGACCTGGGTTCAATCCCTGGGTTGGGAAGATCCCCTGGAGAAGGGAAAGGCTACTCACTCCAGTATTCTGGGCTGGAGAATTCCGTGGACTGCTGAGTCCATTGGGTCACAAAGAGTTGGACACGACTGAACAACTTTCACTTTAACTTTTTCACTTTCAACCAGATAGAGAAAGTGATCCCCAGTGCTGCTGTTAAGTAGGATGAGTTGATGTTATTCTGTTCTTTATGAGTATGATGAACCCTCATTGACTTCCAAGAGCAAGGCTTAGGATCCAGAGAAGGACTGACTTTGCTTTTAGGTAAGGACTCTTGTTGGGCTTCCCAGGTGGCACCAGTGGTAAAAAAACAAAAACAAAAGAAGCCCACCTGCCAATGCAGGAGATGTAAGAGACATGGGTTTGATCCCTGGGTTGGGAAGGCACTGGAGGAGGGCATGGCAACCCACTCCAGTATTCTTGCCTGGAGAATCTCACGGACAGAGGAGCCTGCTGGGCTACAGTCCATGGGGCTGCAAAGAGTCAGACACGACTTAATAACTAAACAGCAACAACAAAGCAACCGTTAAATGGAAGATAGAGGAGAAATAGGAATACAGCAGAAAACAGGTGGTGGAAATCAGCTGAAGCTGAGAGCCGGCTGGAGTTTAAGTGCATGTGGCTCTTCCTGAGAATTCTCCTAATCTACATTGTCCCCATGCTGTAGGATCACTTCATATCTCTGAATGTAGAAGACGGCCGACTCATGGTGCGGTACAAACTGAATTCAGAGCCGCCTAAAGAAAAAGGAATCAGAGAGATCATAAACGACGGGAAAGATCATTTGGTACATCCTTTGAATCTGTTTATCTGAGTCATTACATGTTTTTAGTCCTTTAAGTCAGTGCACAGAACACTTTTCTATTACCAGATGAACTTATTAGCTGAGAGACATATCCTTTTAAAATCTGAATATTTTTGCATGAAATATATAACATCCATATGGTGTAGGTAAAACATGATTAATTTCATGGATATATATATATATATATATATGTATGACTGATTCCCTTTGCTCTTCATCTGAAATTGTCACTATATTGTTAATCAGATATAGCCCAATACAAAATAAAAAGTTAAAAATAATAAAATTTTTTTAATATTAAAAAAAATGATTATTTCAAATGCAAACATTTCGGGAATTCCTTGGTGGTCCAGTAGTTAGGCACCAAGTTTTCACTACCAAATGTGCAGGTTCAGTTTTTGGTCAGAGAGCTAGGGTCCTTCAAACCGTGTGGTTTAGTCAAAACAGACAAACAAATGCAAACATCTCTATTTAAATTTTTATTATAATTTTATGCAGATGTGCTACTGTGCTCAGATCCCTTGTATTAATATATATACCATGTATATAAATGAATCTGAAGGAAGGTAAAAACATAATAGCTCTGAACCATCGTGAATAGAATTATTTTATTTCTCATTGCTGACTGATTCATCTCTCATTTATTTTAGATTCTGATCAAAATTGGAAAAATCCAACAACGTATGTGGATAAATGTGGATACTCAAAGCGTTAAAATTGAAGATGAGATATTTGATTTCAGCACATACTATCTGGGGGGAATTCCCATTTCCATCAGGGAAAGGTAAGATGATCTTTTTATAAAGGAGCAGATCACCTCTCTTAATAGTTACAATTGCTACTGATAAATCTGCCTTGTTTAATTCCAGCAAAAAGCAAAGAATTACTTTTCTGTACTAATAGTGTTAGCCAACAGAGTACAACAGGCTGTTAATACTGGGTAACACGACTGGCTGTTTGAAAGATGCGGGGGTTAGGGGTCAGGGTGGTGGGGAGATGAGGGAACAGTGTACCACTTCCATTGTTGTTCCTGGGAGGAGAAAAACCACATAAAGTAGATTTGGTGTTGACAACACTGCCGTCAAAAAGAGGGGCTATATCCTGGGGTCCTTGAGGACTTGTGGTCCTTGTGGCTCAGGTGGTAAAGAATCTGCCTGCAATGTAGGAGACCCAGGTTTTATCCCTAGGTCGGTAAGGTCCCCTGGAGAATAGAATGCTACCCACGCCAGTATTCTTGCCTGGAGAATTCCATGGACAGAGGAGCCTGATGGTTACAGTCCACGGGGTTGCAAAGAGTCAGACGTGACTAAGCAGCTAACATTTTCACTTTTACTTGGGGTCCTGGTTGGTACAGAGGGGAGCACAGGCGGCCCTGGGCACCGAAAGCTAGGGCACTGAAGTGCCTCCTAGGACATGAGGCACATTTGTATTACCTGCCCCCTTATGTGTGTGTTATCAAGGAGGGACTAGGGGGATGACTGTCTCGGATGAATGGATACACAAATGAATTAACTTAACTTGAATGGAAGTAAAGTTTAATGGGAATGAGAAAAACAAACACCACTCTGAGGATATACTTAAAAATAACTTTCACATTTTGTTCGTTTGTTTACATCCTTCCAAAAGGCTGACAGTGATGTGTGGAAAGAAGATTCCTTGGAAGGGTTACTACAGCCTCATGACTAAGCTAAGAGAGCTCCCAAAATGTTTGATGATGATTGCTTTCATATGATATCTGAGGCTGGTTAACTCTTTCCCTAATTTATCAGTCATTTGGAAGGAGTACTAGATGTGATTTATGAAGTGTTGTGCCACGGTGGTCTTCTCAAATCCTTATACATTTGAACAGCTGTCCAGCCTCAATAAGGAGGCACTAATCTTTGTCTTAAAGTTGTCTGTGGACTTCTCTGGAGGTCCAGTGATTGACATTAGCCTTCCAATATAGGAGATGCAGGTTCAATACCCGGTCAGGGAGCTAAGATCTTATGTGCCTCCTGACCACAAACCCAAAATGTAAAAAATAAGCAGTACTGTAGCAGATTCAATAAAGACTTTTAAAAAATGGTCTACCTCAAAAAGATCATAAAAATAAAAGCTGTCAGGGTTGCCCCCAAAGACAGAGATACAGGTGAGAAAGTTCAGCACTTTAATAGAGTTTGGGAGTGAATGTCTTTCCTCCCTAGGTTCTTTGAATTGGAAGGGACCTTGTGGATCATGGTATGTAACCTCTGAATTTTAATGTAGAAATTAAGAGCCAAAGAGATAATATTAATATTTAATATGATCAGTACTAAATAGCAGTTCAACCTTGAATAGCTAGTTATGAATGGCCAGTAAACTTGGTTTTATACAATTAAATGTAATAAAATAGAGTAACCTAAGGCAGCACCATTCACACATTAGTGGCTGTCATTTGTTTGCTCATTGCACAAGCCCTCATTGGCTTTCTAATGATCTTAGGTAGTGTGGTCAGTTCTGGGATGATGATGAACAGGGAAGAGTCTCAAGTATAGCAGAAGGGAGACAGTAGAATAAGGCCAGTGCCATCAGAAGGTGGCACCCAGGAAGCTCAGGGTGATAGGGACCCAGTAAAGGAACCTATCTACCCTTTAGGGTATCAGGAAAATGGTCTCTGAGTAGATCTGGAAGACCCTGACATATGAAATTCAACATAAGTAAAGAGATAAGAACCAAAGTGTGAACTCTCAAGAGGACACTATGAGGCAGGCCATTGTGGCTGGTGTGGGAAGCAGGGGCCAGACCACAGAGGATCTTGAAAGTCACAGTAAGGACCACTGGGGGCTTCCGCAGAGAAAGGACATGATCAGACTTGGGTTTTCCATAGCTTGCTGTAGTGCAGGGTGCAGATTGGATTAAGAGGGAAAAGGCAGAGGCAGGTGGAGAGGTTTGAAGATGAGCATAACAGGTGAGAGAGGCAGGTGGTCTGACCATGGAAACGACAGTGCTGATGAGGAAGAGAGAGTGGAGTCTTGTTATACTTAGGGCAGCAGATGGGCAGTGCTGAAAGATTGCTTGGGTTTGAAGAATAACAAAGAGAAGTGCTCAAGAAGGACTTTGATCTGGCGCTTGGACAGATGGCCAGCACCAGCAGAGAAACGGGGTGGTGAACTCAGTCTGAGACAGGCTGAGTCCCAGGAGACAGCAGGTGGAGATGCCTGGAAAGGACTAGATGGAAGGCCTTGACCTCTGGAGAGACGTCCAGGCTGGAGAAAGGGGGAACGAAGCTTGAGAACAGGTAGCTACTGAGGATATGGGGGCAAGTGGGCTCCCCCAGAGCCGCAAGGGATTCTCAGAGGTGTTTGCCTCTGTGTGGTGTCAGCAGAAAGTCCATAGACCGTGATGAGGGTGTCGGCCAAGCACGGTTTACTAGGAAAAAGTAATGGGTGAGGATCCAAAGAAATGGTTCTAGTTTGGGCTTAGCCATCAACGAGTAGGGTGACCTTGGATTAAGTCAACACTCAACCTTTCTTTGCCTTTTTATTTCTGTCCATTAAAGAAATACATATATGGGTATTGTGGTAAAGAATTTGCCTACCAATGTAGGAGACACAAGAGATTTGGCTTCAATCTCTGGGTTGGGAAGATCCCCTGGAGAAGGCAATGACAACCCACTCTAGTATTCTTGCCTGGAGAATCCCATGGACAGAGGCGCCTGGCAGGCTACAGTCCATGGGGTCATGAAGAGTCAGACGTGACTGAGTGTGCATGCACACACATACACATACAGATAGACATATAGAATTTTCCTAGGCATCTGTTTTAGGATTTTCCAAACAGGGGCTGCTTCCTTTTTCTGGGTAAGTTTACACTTTGAGTCTTGAGTCAAACTGTAAGAACATGGAACATGCAGGAGACAGAGGCTGGTCAAAAGATTTCACTGAGCTTTTCCTCTCTCTCAAGTAAAATGCTCAACGGTATTCAGCTGTTTCTGGCCCTGCTTCATCCCTCTGGTGCTGCTGTTGATGGTTCAGAGTCCTGAGACCCCCTTCTGATGTGGGTCATGGAGGACTTCTCCCCAGTGACCCACAGCTGAGTGTGTAGGTGCAACCAGCAGTTCTTTCAAAGCGGGGAGGTGCCCTGAGCCCTGGCAGGGGGGTAGTGGAGACAGTCAATGCTTGACCCTAACGTGGAGAGAAGCACGCCTCATGTTAGCTCTGTGTACAGGAGCGTAGGCAAGAGGCTGTGTGAGCGTGGTGTTTTCTCTCTCTCTCTGTAGCATACCTTCTGGGATTGGGGACCCAGATCTTGGAGTGACTTGTATAGGATTAGAGTCAGAAGCCAAACCACAGTCTGTTAATCCCATCTGCTTCCCATGAGAAGAGAAGATCACCCCTGATGATGCCAGCAATTCTCTGTCATCCCTGACAGTGCCTCAGACCAACAAAAAACACTTCCCGAGGAGTTACATACATCATTGCATCACAGAGTATGATAATATCACATCACAATGAAACAAACTCCAAAACTAAACACCGGGCAAGGATCTGTTGAGCATCTGTTAATACCCAGCACTGAGTTCGGGGTTTGATTTTGCTCCTCCTGCCCTCTGAGATCTGCCCACAGCAGGCTGGACCCAGCCAATCCTTTGTGAACAGCTTGCCCCTTGGTGTGCACACACACTGCGGCATACGCACCCATTCTTATGGCAGCCTACACCCCTCCTCAGTCACGTTCCTCTGGCAGGAGCGCTCAGACCTGAATTCTGGAGCGAATGTGGAACCCTAGGCCCTCAGATGAGCCAAAGTAACAAGAGCATCCCGAAGAATGGTGGAAATGACTCTTTCATTTTAACATCTCTGCTGTAGGTAACTGTTCTGCAGGAAAGAGTCATGATTGTTGCAGTGCTGTGGGTACACACCTGTGTAAGCACAAAGAGCAAGGGCTGCAGGTCACACTAGCTTCTGTGACACGCCGACCCCCGGGACCCCAATGCTGCCACCTTCCTTCTGCATGACCTCATGGGAGTCACTTAACCTTCCCAAGCCTCCTTGTACATCTGTAACGTGGGCACAGTGAAGCACTAGCTCTTAGACTGGTCGTGAGATTCAGAGTAAAGGATTTAGCACAGTGCCTGGCACATGGTAAGTGCTCAGTAATGTCAGGTGAGAAAATATCTCCCTTGTGGGGAAACATAGGGGGAAGGGATAGTTAGGGAGTTTGGGATGGCCAGGTGCATGCTACTGTATTTAAAATGGGTAACCAACAAGGATAGACCATAGAGCACAGGGAACTCTGCTCAATGATATGTGGCAGCCTGGATGGGAGGCGAGTTTAGGGGCAAATGGATGCATGTGTATGTATGGCTGAGTTCTTTCTCTGTCCACCTGAAACTATTGCACATTGTTAGTTGGTTGTACTCCAATATAAACAAAAACATAACAATAGATTAATGAAATGATGATAAATCTTTTTTTTTAAAAAAGAAAATATTTCCTTCAAAAGGTTATTGTGAGGATCAGATAATAGTTGTTGTTCAGCAGCTCAGCTGTGTCTGACCCCGTGGACTGCCCCACACCAGGCTTCCCTATCCTTCCCCATCTCCTGGAGTTTGCTCAAACTCATGTCCATTGAGTCGGTGATGCCATCCAACCATCTCATCCTCTGTCAACCCCTTCTCCTCCTGCCTTCAATCTTTCCCAACATCAGGGTCTTTTCCAATGAGTCGGCTCTTGGCATCAGGTGGCCGAAGTACTGGAGCTTCAGCTTGCACAAAATAGGTGCTCCTTGTCTGTCAGCTAGCTTCCTTTCCCCTTTACTTTTTATGCCACCTTATTCTTCCTTCGACCTATGCTTTATGGAAAAAAGGAATCAGGAGATGTGGATGAGTTTAAAGCATGTTGAAACCCAAGAGAGAATGGATCAAAATATTAACATTAATGAGTTAATAAATATTAACATATGGACAAATAGACAAGCCCCAGGAATGGATATGAATTTTCCTCCTCTCCTGAGGCAAGAAGCCAGTTTTATAAAATCATCAAGCTTGTGCTGTGATGCCCATGAGGATTTGTTTCTGCCTTTTAATGAAATTTAATTTTATGCATATTACATGTAGCTCAGCTGTTTATAATGAATTGAATAAAAATGAAGGCAGACATCTTTCCATTTAGAAAAGTCAGCCCCTTTAGGGATTAGTAATGAAGTCAGCTTTGTGTTTATCTTAGTACATCATTTGCTTAAGAAACACAAATATTTGCCTGGACTTCAGTCATTTCACGTATGTTAGTGTTTTTGTGTGACATCCGCTCCAGATAGATCCGAAAGTCAAATCAAAGGGGAAATACCAAGACAGCCATGTAGGAGGAGCTGCTTTATCAATTGCTTCATTATAGGGGCTTCCTTGGTTGAGTCCACGCTTCCAATTTGGGTTTGATCCCTGGTTAGGGAGCTAACATCCCACGTGCTGTGCAGCCCAACCAGAAAAAAGTTTTTTAATTAAAAAAAAGAAGAAATTGCTTTGTTATAGAGATGCACTGATGTGATGGGGCTAGTTACAATTCTGCCATCTCACCGAGTCCTTGCTCTGTACTGGGCACCGTTGGAGTATGTTACCCACATTATTGCATTTAAACTCTGGGCTGGGAAGCAGATTACCACCTTCCCATGGTATAAATGAGAAGATAGACGCACAGGGAAGACACCCAGGACAGAACTTGAACCAACACAGCCTGCCTCCAGAGCCCAATGCTCCAGAGAAGCTTCTCTCAGAAGCGCCTCCTGAGTGCCCAGGACCGAGTGCCATGGAGGGTTCCGAGCACCTCCTGGACGTGAACATGTTTAATCCTCGCAGTGACCTCTTGCCCAGCCTGCACAGTTAGGAGGTGGTGGATAGAGCATATGAGGCTGGATAGTGCTTTCCATTGTTCCAGCTTGGCACTGATTAAATATACCAAGCCACACTTTTCCTAATTGACTAGGACCAAAAAGTAATAATTTATTTCCTTGGCGTTTACAGTGGCTGACTTAAAACTGGACAGGAAAAAAAGATCAAGAAGTTTTCTAGAGTATTTCTGGCTATAATTAATTACTTATTTAGTTATTCAAAGGGTTATTCACTCAGTCTTGTCTGACTCTTTGCAACCCCATGGACTGTAGCCCACCAGGCTCCTCTGTCCATGGGATTTCCCAGGCAAAAGACTAGAGTGGGTTGCCATTCCTTTCTTCAGGGGACCTTCCCAATCTCCCACATTGCAGGCAGATTATTTACCACCTAAGCCACCAGGGAGTTTAATATATATTTATATGATATTTCTAGTATATTAATTTATTAATATGCTTTTAATTCATGATGCATTATCATGACTCCAATAGAGGATGGGGGGAGCAGTTTCAGATCTTGTACATCTTCTATACGTCTATACTTTTGGGGGATACTGGCCACTCTTCTGTCAACATTATTGTGTTCATTTTTAATACTGAGAATGCAAATCACACAGAATGGAAATATCTAATAGATTTTCCTAGTATCACAAAATTAGTAGCAGTATAGAAATCCGACGAGAAGAGATAACCATAAAACACGTACTTGTTCACGGGTGAGAAGCTGTAGGGAATGAGTGCCATGTTTCAGCTGCAGTTCCCCAGCCAGCCTGCGCTTGGTCCATCTCTTCCTTTTCTTGCATCCCCAAATCAGGTTTAACATTTCTACACCTGCTTTCCGAGGCTGCATGAAGAACCTGAAGAAGACCACTGGCGTCGTCAGATTGAATGATACAGTGGGAGTAACAAAAAAGTGCTCAGAAGACTGGAAGGTAAGTGAAGAGTTCAGAACCTTGCAAAGGAGTGGTTCCCAGCTAACCCATGTTTGACTTTTGTTAACACACCAACTTTTGACGTATTCTGATATGATGAACTGGCTCATTTATTACACTCTCCCTGTACTTGCAAAACCTCTTCAGGCTTGTATATTAAATTTGTAGGAAGGTAGGAAAACCAGCTCTGCACACAAAAACACCAAGATGGTTGGCAAATTATCATGCAGAAAAAGCAAACTTTTTTTCCATGGGTCAGTTCAAGTGAAGTGATCTAGGTTAAGATACTATTATTTCAGCCGTGGCATGATTACAAGGCCAGTAATTTATTCCATGTTCGCATTTCAGCTCGTGCGATCTGCCTCATTCTCCAGGGGAGGACAGTTGAGTTTCACCAATTTGGACTTCCCATCATCCAGCCACTTTCAAGCCTCCTTCGGGTTTCAGACCTTTCAACCCAGTGGCATCTTATTAAGTCATCAGACGGGGGTATGAAATATTGTATGAATGTTGAACAAGATTTAAGCCTGACTCAAGGTTCGATGTCAAAAACAATAGAGGGATTTTGAAGGTAAATCCGTTGGGCATTTTTGTCTAGCATCACGCAGTAGATGCTTTTGTGGATTTCAACCATGGAAGTGGTTGCCCATCCTGGGGTAGGGCCTAAAAGAAATCAGGCTTAGAAAGTATATTCTAGTTTACAGAATGGGATTTATGTGTATTCGTGGGCTCCATTTTCGTTCTTTTCAGGTGTATTTTGAGTGAAGGTGAAGTAGAACTGGTATAAGTAATAATGTAGCTTTAAGTTTTTAGAACTAAGAAAAAAAAAATCAGAATGTACACCCATTACTCGTTTGTGATTCCACAAAAGAGAGCTCTTGAGATTCCTTTTTTGGCAGCAGCAGCTTATTGGACGATATTTGCATCGGAGAATGGAAGAAAGTAATGTCTTTTGCTCTTTGTTCCTGTACATCAAGCCACAGAGATTCTCTCACTTAAGAGTATTTAGCCAGTGTGGTCATGTAGGCGTAAAAGTCAGCTAATACTCCGAAATTGGCCGGTGGAACAACTGGGGTTTTAAAATAGAAAGAGAAGTAGGGCAGTCTTCTTCTTGGGTTTGTTTCTTCAGGACTGCCAGCACAGTGGACAACTAGTATTTGCTTAAAGGAAGGACTAGCTGCCTCTGTGGCTATGTTGTAAATAGAACTCTTCTCCTCTCTTGCTGTCTTTTTCAATCAGCTGTTAGAGATCTTTTTTTGTTTAATTCATGTTCTATTGATTATTTTATTTTTTATTGAAATATAATTGCTGTACAATGTTGTGTTAGTTTCTGCTGCAAAACATTGTGAATCAGCCATGTGTATACATATATTCCCTCCCTCTTAGCCTCCCTCCCACCCCCATCTCACCCTTCTGGGTCATTACAGAACACCGAACCGAGCTCCCTGTGCTATGCAGTATGGCTTTGAGATCCTTTTTTTGAAAAACAAAACAAAAATACCCCTGAAAAAGCACATGCCTACATTTAGATCGCGAGCGTGGCTTTTCTATCAGAGCAGGATGTTTTGACCCAGCTCTTTTTGTCAAAAAGTATTTATTTATTTATGGCTGCATCAGGTCTTAGTTGTGACATGGGGGCAAGGTCTTCGCTGAAGCACACAGGCTTAGCTGTCCCGTGGCATATGGGATCTTGGTTCCCCAACCAGGGGTCACACCCTCATCCCCTGCATTGCAGGGCAGATTCTTAACCACTGGAGTGCCAGGGAAGTTCCTTGCCCCAAATCTTCTGACACGCTCTCCTGTTTCCTCCGCAGGAGTGGGGACACTTAATACACTGTATACAAAATGGTCCAAAAGAGGCAGAAGACTTGGCTTAGCAAAAGATGAGGTCAATCCTGGACAAGGCAGGAACCCTTCAAATATCCTAGGAACAGTGCCTGCAACTCCTTAATGGATTCAACTTCTTAAGAAATACATTTCAGTTAGCATTCTTTTATCCAGTTTATAATAAATATTGCCAGTTGAAAAAACTCAACATTAAGTGAAACTGAAAATGGCTACAAACACACTCTGTAAACATTGTTTTAGGCTCAAAGCTCCCTGAAGAATCACATCTGGTTGAAAACCACAAAAATTGTACGTGGTAGGAAAAACACATCAACAAAATGAAAATGACAACTGCCAAAACTACACCAATTTTTTTGTATTTTTTGAATATTTATTTACAGCCACACACATTTAAAGAACATTAGCAATTAATAGAAAGAAAATAGAAAATAGAAAGAAAAAAAATTATCTTGCCAAAATTTTTATCTGCAAAGTTTGACATTGGAAAATTGAACCTCCTGGAAATTAGGACCCCAAAATAAAAAATTCATGACTGAAGGGAAGCTGTCATTGTAATCATCTATGAAGAAAATTGATGAATCAAGTCTTTGTTGTAAAAATGTATTCAGAAAAACATTGATCTTGATGAAAATAACTTCAGTAGAGTGAAAGCGAAAATAGAAAAATTTAGAAATGGTGTAACTTCTGTATAATTGACGGAGACATTAAGTTGGTTAATGATTGTAGGTCCATAAAATGCTTTTGACAGATTCATCAATGTTGAAATAATTTGTATAAGATTTTTATATTCATAAACACAGAGTCCAAATATTCAAAACTAACCTTTAGATCAAAATAGCAAAGTCAAAACATTGGGTTTGAAACATCCTGTTTTGTACATAGTTTTGCTCACACACTGAGTATTGATACATTCATAATCATTAAATGCAGGTGGATTGCACTGATGGGTACATTGTTCTCTGATGATTTCAGGCAAGCAGTCTGCAGGTCACCCTGGAAGACGGTCACATTGAACTGAGCACCAGGGACAGCAGCAGCCCTATTCTCATGTCTCCACAGACGTACATGGATGGTTTACTGCATTATGTGTCTGTAATAAGTGACAACTCTGGGTGAGTGGAATGGCTCTTCTGCCAGAGCACTAAGAATTTTATTTTATTTAGTTTAGTGGAATTTTCTAGTATCTTTTCTGAGACATATTTGTCCTCAATGTTGACACTATTTTACTAGTAAATCTTGACCTTCTTCTTGGTACTGTATCAATTTTCTCATTGATTGAGAATCAACAGTTGGATGGATAAATAAGTTGGGGTACATTCAAAATGGGAGAATGAGAATGAAGGATCTACAGCTGTGTACAGCCACGTGGATGAACCTCGCATGTAAGGCTGAGCAAAAGAGGTCACACGTGAAAGACTTCTTTTCCCATGACTTCATGTATATAAAATTCAGAAGCAGCAAAGCTAAACTGTTTCATCAGAATTCACGGTGCTGTGTTACTCTTGGAGAGAGAGAACTGGAAAGGGAGCCCAGGCAGGGTGCCTGGGGAACTGGCAGTGTCAGTGTTTTCACATTTCAAAGATGCATTGAGCTGGGCACTTTAGGACCTATACTTTCTGTATGTATACAGGTACACCTGGGAATATTGTGGGTTCAATTCCAGACCACTGCAGTAAAGCTAATGACACAATAAAAAAGAGTCACACAACATTTTTGATTCCCAGTGAATATAAAAGTTATACTTACCCTATACTATATCTATCAAGTGTGCAATAGGTGTCTAAAAAAAAACTATGTACATACCTTACGTAAAAAATACTTTATCACTAAAAGTGCTAACCATCATCTGAGCCTTCTAGGAGTTGTCATTGTTTCACTGGGAAGCATTTGAAGTCTTGTGAAAACTACCAAAGTGAGACTGTAAGACTCGGAGTGAGCAAATGCTATTGGAAAAACAGTGCCAGTAGACTTGCTTGAGGCAGGTTGCGACAAACTTTCAATTTTTCAAAAACCACAATATCTGTGAAGCATATTTTAAAAATGAAGTGCAATAAAAGGAGCTATGCCTGTAGAGTACTTTAATAAAAATGCCATGTGCAAAAAGAAATATATGGAACAAAACTGCAAATGCTCTTTGAAAATAGTTTAGTGAGTTCTTTCGGGTAAAAGACTTTGGGTCTGAATCAAAGACAGTCAGTTTCACTAGCTGTTCTCACTCCTGTTTGGTTTTTTTCGTTTGTTTGTTTTTTCAGACTCCGGCTCCTCATTGATGACCAGCCTCTGAAGAATAACCAAAGGCTTCGCGGCCTTTCAGATTTCCAGCAGTCCCTGCGTCTGGGCGGGAGTCATTTCGAGGGCTGCATCAGCAATGTTTTCATCCAGAGGTGTGTGTGCAGCCGATGAGAGGGGCCTGCCGACACAGAGAACTTGTCACCATGGCTTCATGCTGCTCTCATCTGCAGACTTTCCAAACACCTTCTTTGGCATGATTTGTTGTTGTTCAGTTGCTCAGTTGTGTCTGACTCTTTGCGACCCCATGGACTACAGCACGCCAGGCTTCCCTGTCCTTCACTATCTCCCAGAGTTTGCTCAAACTCATGTCCATTGAGTTGATGATGCCATCCAACCATCTCATCCTCTGTCACCCACTTCTCCTCCTGCCCTCAATCTTTCCCAACATCAGGGTCTTTTCCAGTGAGTCAGCTCTTCGAATCAGATGGCCAAAGTGTTAGAGCTTCAGCTTCAGCATGAGTCCTTCCAGTGAATATTTAGGGTTGATTTCCTGTAGGATTGACTGGTTTGATCTCCTTGCTGTCCACGTGACTCTCAAGAGTCTTCTCCAGCACCACAGTTCATCAATTCTTAGGTGTCAGCCTTCTTTACGGTCCAACGCTCACATCTTTGGCACGGTGCACGCGTTAAAAGCAAACTAACAGAAAGCTCTGGGGCCCGGCCTCCCTTTGTAGCAGCAGCTTTGGAACATAACCTTGGAAAAGGTTTAATTAAAATTAACGTTCAGATTATGTCCCTTTTTAGATGAGAGCAAAACTCTCCCCTGAGCAGAGGGAGGGCCTGGGCCTGCTCATGAGCCTTAGGCAGCCCAGTAGGCTTGTGAGCGGCTGTTAGGGCTTGATGACCGTCATAAGATAAAGTAGATTTACCCATGAGATTTGTCTACAGAAATGCAGTGAGATAAATCCTTTCTCGAACTCACTTCTGTGGTTTCCTGTTATTTATCATCATTCTAGGTCATCTGGTGTCTGTGCTTGTCCTCTCTGCCTATTTTGTCTTTCATATTTCTTTTTTTGTATGTTTTTTAAAATTTATTTTTAATTGGAGGATAGTTGTGTTACAATTTTGTGTTAGTTTCTGCTGTACAGTTACGTGAATCAGCTATAAATATACATATATCCCCTCCCTCTGGAGCCTCCCTCCCAGCCACCCCTCATCCTTCCCCTCCCAGGTCATCACAGAGCACCGGGCTGAGCTCCATGTGCTGTACCCCGGCGTCTCAGTAGCTCTCTGTTTTACACGTGGTCGTGTGTATGTGTCTGTGCTACCCCTCCAATTCATCCCACCTTCCCCTTTCCCCCACCTTGGGTCCACACATGTACTCTCTACTTCTGTATCTCTATTCCTGCCCTACAAATAGGTTCATCAGTACCATTTTTCTAGATTCCACATATATGCGTTAATAATTTCCAGGTGGCACTAGTGGTAAAGTACCCACCTGCCAATGCAGGAGACATAAGAGACTCAGGTTCGATCCCTGGGTCTGGAAGATGCCCTGGAGGAGGGCATGGCAACTCACTCCAGTATTCTTCCCTGGAGAATCCCCATGGACAGAGAAACCTGGCGAGCTACAGTCCATAGGGTCGCAAAGTCAGACATGGCTAAAGTGACTTAACATGCGCACACACACACACCCTGTACTAGGTGGAAACAGATGAGCGTTTAGCCAGAAATCAGGGCAGTAAGAATGTATATGTTGGAAACAAATTCTCCCTGCCAGTGTGTCTTCCTGGATGTGTCAGAGTTTGTTTCTGCTGTCATTCCAGATCATCAGAGAGTCCCGAAGTCCTGGATCTGGCCAGTAAGTCTTCCAAGAGAGATGTGTCCCTGGGATTCTGCAGTTTAAACGAACCACCTTTTCTAATGTTGCTTAAAGGGTCCACAAGGTTTTACAAAGCCAAGACTTTCAGTATCCACCAGGTGAGTGTCAAGAACCTTGTACTGGGTTTTGCTTCTTTCGGTGATTCTCAGAAGAGAATCTTCCTCGCTGGAGATGTTGGGGAGGAGTGTAGATCGCCTCCCATGGTAGCCAGTGCTTCCAGGAAGTGGGACTAATGGGTCATCCATAGTCGGATTATACCAAAATGTCAAAGCAGTTTTCTTTTTAGCTTCTCTTTTGAATCTTGAACGCTTGGCAATTTTCACAGCCCTGTAAACAAATAGAGGGGCTTCCCTGGTGGCTCAGTGATAAATAATCCACCTGCCAATGCAGGTTCAGTCTCTGTCGTGGGAAGACCTCCTGGAGAAGAAATGGCAACCCACTCTAGTTATTCTTGCCTGGATAGAGGAGCCTGGCAGGCTACAGTCCACGGGGTCACAAAGAGTTGGACAGGACTTATCGACTGAACTAAGAACAAACAGGACCTTGACTTCAGTTTCTCAGTACCTGCAGCTGATGAGCCTTTTCCTACCCACAGACATTTCTCTGTCTTGCATTCTACAATTGGATAAACACATGCACCCAGGCCTTGCCATGACCACTGTGACTTGACCTTGACAGCACATTGGGGACACCTGGGGAGTGTTTAAAATCCCAGTGCATGAGTTGCATCCCACCCAATTAAGTCAAATACTCTTGAGTTAGGTCCAAGCAACAGGAGTTTCCTGGGTGATTCTAATGTTTGGTTCTAAGAGAGGCTGAAAGGAAATGAAATTCCTGGTTTGGAAGAGTGGAAGCATCATCATAAACTGAACACGGAGTTAGAACTTGAATTCCTAGCTCTGTCTGAGGTCACCAGTGTGACCTCACATCTGAGGTTACAGTTAATATGATTAATGGATAAGGGTTAGAACTTGAATTCCTAGCTCTGCCTGAGGTCAACAGTGTGACCTCATATCCGAGGTTACAGTTAATATGATTAATGGATAACGCTGAGCACCTGCAATGTGCCAGGTGTTACACTGAGCTCTTTAAGTGGATTTTCTTACTAAACCCTCACATAACTGTGTGGGAGAAGTACTGTTATCAGAGAAAAGGATGCAGTAGCCTAGAAAGGTGAGCAACTTGAGCAGGCTCCCACAGATGGAAAGCGGCATTGGAATTTAAACTCAGCCTGACCTCAAAGCCGGGGCCTTCTTGAGAGCAATGCACTTCCATTCAACCCACTTTTCACTTCGAGTCAACCACATGCTGCTTGTCAGTAATTCTCCCACTGCATGATGATTCAGGGGAGTTGCAGAGATAGTACATAAAGAGAAACATTTAATGCTATTTAAGAAGAAATATATTTCATAAATCCCAAAGGGTTGTCATTTAACTCTTAGGAAGAGATCATCTTTAGAACACCCCCATCAGGAATGAAGTCACAGAGTCATTTTTTTTCACTGTTAGGCTGAGAGTTACTGAGAAGCTAGATTAGCACAGTCCTGGTGGAGATGAATATGGACTCGAAGTTATTCAGGGGATGGAATGTATCAGATCATATAATAACTGAAGGTGGGTGGCAGAGGAGAGGCAAGAGTTAATATAATTCTGAGACAACTAGTGCAGGTTATTAGGTGAATGGAGAAGTCAGTTGTGGAGAGAGGAGAAGGACAAGCCTTTAGGCGGAAGGAGAATGAATGCGGTAGGTGACATATTGAGTGACAGGTGCCTCAAGCAGGTGGAAAGCTGGTGGGAGACTGGCGGGTGTCTCTGGGGGCATCAGCAGAAGAGTGGCATGGGGCAACTGATGTGGGAGACCCAGTGAGTACACTGGATGTAATGTTCCCTGTTTCATGCAAGCCCTCAGATTAGACAGAATAAGAAACTAATTCTGCCTCCAAAAGCCCCAAAACAAAGAGAAGACCACCAGGCTTTGTGGTTAAATACTGGACTTTGGGGCCAGCCTTCCTAGGTTTGCATCAGGTTTTCTCACTTACTACTGGCGAGTAGTAAGTGTGTGTTCTTGAATAATTAACTTTTCTGTGGGTCTACTTCTTGCAGCATCAATGAGGATAGTGAGTGAATGCTTAGTCATTCAGTTGTGTCCGACTCTTTCTGACCCAGGGACTGTAGCTCACCTGGCTCCTCTGTCCATGGAATTCTCCAAGCAAGAATACTGGAGTGGGTTGCCATTCCCTTCTCCAGGGGATCTTCCTGACCCAGGAATCGAACCTAGGTCTCCTGCATGGCAGGCAGATTCTTTACCTGCTGAGCCATCAGGGAAGCCTTGTAAATGAGAATAGGTAATACAAGGCTATGGTTTTTCCAGTGGTCTTGTATGGATGTGAGAGTTGGACTGTGAGGAAAGCTGAGTGCCGAAAAATTGATGCTTTTGAACTGTGGTGTTGGAGAAGACTCTTGAGAGTCCCTTAGACTGCAAGGAGATCCAACCAGTCCATCCTGAAGGAGATCAGTCCTGGGTGTTCATTGGAAGGACTGATGAAGCTGAAACTCCAATACTTTGGCCACCTCATGCAAAGAGTTGACTCATTGGAAAAACCCTGATGCTGGGAGGGATTGGGGGCAGGAGGAGAAGGGGACAACAGAGGATGAGATGGCTGGATGGCATCACCGACTCGATGGGCATGAGTTTGAGTAAACTCCGGGAGTTTGTGATGGACAGGGAGGCCTGGCGTGCTGCGGTCTATGGGGTTGCAAAGAGTCAGACACTACTGAGCAACTGAACTCAACTCAACTGAATAGTAATATCTCATGGTGTTGTGAGGATTCAATGAGGTGATAGACATAAAACACGTGGCACATGGTAGGCATGCAATAAATATTAGCTATTATTATTATCATTAAACACACTAATAACTTGAGAGGGACACGAGTGGTTTGCAGGCATTTTTCCTGCTACTGATCAGGGGCTGGGGGTGTTCTTTTTGGAGGAGGGGATAGCCAGACTGGGTCTGGAGTTTGGGTTAAATTTAGATGAGTGAATGTTGTTGCTCCACAAACAGAAGCCCAAAGCTGGGAGGCAGCAGGATGTGATGGGACTCACAGGTACAGACACTTTGCAGTGTTTTCCTTTCATCTCTCAGTTCTCACCATACCCCTACAAGAGCAGAATAAAATGCCAATCTTACAGGTCAGGAAATTGAATCTTAAGTTAAAAAAACTGCCCAAGAGCACCCAGTAAGTAGAGTTGGAATTAAAACTTAGGGCTGTAGAACCCCAAAGAATGTGGTCTTCATAGTCATGCGTCCTCTTCACGTGTGGTCTCTACAGGCTTGGGAAGCTCGGTGAACAGGTGAACAGGGATGGTTTGGAGGAGAAAGGGGACAGGGGGAGGTGAACTCAGAACCACTCACTGGAGCCCAATCAGATGAGCCTTGGATGGCTTGATATGAGGTGTTTTGTTTTCTTTTTTTTTTTAATAAAAATGGTTGAATGCTGCCTCTCTCAAGAACTACTGTGGTTCTTCTCTTGAGAACCACTGTGGGTCTTCTGAAGCTCCAGGAAGAGGAATGTTAGTTGTTCAGTCATGTCCAACTCTTTGTGACGCCATGGACTGTAGCCAGCCAGGCTCCTCTGTCCATGGGAATTTCCAGGCAAGAATACTGGAGTGGGTAGCCATTTCTTCCTCCAGGGCATCTTCCTGACCCAGGGATCAAACCCAGGTCTTCGGCAATGCGGGCAGATTTTTCACTCTGAGCCACCAGGGAAGCAGGCCCCCAGGGAAGGGAGGTGCTCTGGATACCTGCCGGTCCCATGTACCACAGACCTGTGTAGGATGGGAGCAACATGCACCCTCCCCCAGAATGAATTCATCCCTATTGAACTCCGCTCTTAGAATCAAAAGTCAAAACTGAGCAAGGCACTTAGCAAGACAGGCGTTCTCCACCCTTCCCCCAGATAATTAGCTGTCCTGATTTTTGGTTTCTCTCCCACACAGCCGTTGCAGGATGCACCAGCCATCTCCCCAAGGAGCTCAAAGGCATGGGGAGAGGCTCAGTCTTGCCCACCACTTCCCGGAGCCCAGACCAGCCACCGAGCCTTCCGGTTTGGGGACAGTCCCACCAGCCACTTGCTATTCATGCTTCCCCAGGATTTGCTGAAACCCAGGTATTATTTCATGTTCCTGCCCCATGCCAAGTCAAGACTCTGAGTCTACATAGGACTCTGTATATACTAGGGCAGGCTAACCGCTGTGATGCCAGGCACTTGCCACTGAGGAAGGGGCTTGTTGTTGTTTAGTCACTTAATCATGTCCAGCTCTTTGTGATACCATGGACTGTAGCCCGCCAGGCTCCTCTGTCCATGGGGTTCCACAGGCAAGAGTACTGAAGTGGATTGCCATGCCCTCCTCCAAGGGATCTTTCTGACCCAGGGACTGAACCTGTGTCTCCTGCTTGGCAGGCAGATTCTTTACTGCTGAGCCACCTGGGAGACCCAGTGAAGTGGGGAACAAATATGTTTATGAAAAGAAGTGCCAGCCTGCCCAGCACACAGAGCCCAGCCACTGAAGCATCCTTCCTCCTTGCAGCCAGAGGCACACCTGACAGGTGCTGCCCAGACCCTGAAACAATCAGCTCGGCTCTGGTTTAGAACTGACAATGTGCTAAAAATAAGGCTGATATGTCTTTCCAAAGCTGCTATTTATTTGTGATACATCACCTTTCTTCTCCTGCATTCTACAGTCAGAGAAAAATTATTCTTTCAGGAAGACTTGGTGCCAGATAACATCATCTTTAGAGAATACATTGGGACGTTTTGTGCTAACAAGTTGTATCTCTTTGGGGGAAGAGGGAATGAGCAGAGATATTAATTGTGTCAGGAAAAAGAGAAAGGCGAGGCTTGTCATTTTCATATGATTTGAAGGAGACATAAATAAAACAGTGCCCAGAATTCTTTGGGGACTTATCTACCGAGGCAGAACTGCCCAAAAGTCAAAAAGACCTGGCTTTCCAATTTTGGCTTTCCATCCACTCGCTCGGCCACTGGCTGGCTGTGTGACCTCAGGCCACAAGCCAGTTCAGGTCCTGGGGATGCAGATGTCAAGATGAGATTAGATGCGCAAGAGAATGGTTGTTCCTGTGGAAGATAAAAGAAGGGAGCAGGAGCTGGTGGGGAGAGCCTTCAGCTGAGACGCAGCGGGGGTGCTGTGAAAGGAAAGGGGAAGGCAGACAGAGGTGGGAAGAGCCTCTGACAGCAGGAACGCTCTGAGGAAGTCAGACTGGCGGGTGGGCATCCAAGCAGAGATCATCACCAGTGTTGGCAGAATGGCCTGGCTCTTTTCTGCTGAGCTTGATGTGTAGCTGGGAGTCACTGGGTGCCACTGCGGTTCTGAGAGAGGGGCAGCTGGGTGCTGCCAGGCCACTGTGCCCCAGCAGTGGGGTCTCCTGAAGGGAGGGAGCTCTGAGGGGCAACTCCAAGGTCGCCATATGCTGCTCTTCAGCTTGTCTTATTATGCCACACTTAAAAGTGGCATAATTACACCTGCCTCACGTGTTTCCAGAAATTGCTTCATCTCTTTGAACCTCAGTTTTCTCAGCAGTTAAATAGGGTTGGTAATGTCTTGCTTGGAGGGAGGAGAGGTCATAGGTTGGAATGAGCTGGCCCTCGGAAGTGGCCCCAGTAAGCAAGTGTGTGATTCGCAGGCAGATGTGAAAGCCGGAAGGGGAGGGGCTGAGTGTGTGAAAGCCAGAAGAGGAGGGGCTGAGTGTGTGAAAGCCGGAAGGGGAGGGGCCAAGCTATGAAGGTGAGCCTCAGCCCTGAGCTCCAGACTCCAGTAGACCCATGGACATTATGGAGATCCCTGATCTGGCAAAGTTGTGTCAGTGGGAGACAGGCAGATGGCAGAGGTAGTGACCCTCTCAGCTCTCAGCCCGTCCTGGGCCTACCCGGCTCCCCAGCACTGCTCTTTCAGTCACGCTGTCCATAATGTCAACAGTCTCCCTGGGATGCTGCATGCACTGCCCTTTTTCCACCCTTCAGGCCCCCTCCCCTCTTCCCCAGCTCTGAGGCTGTTCCGCTAGCTTTGCACTCCCCCCTCCCTCCGTGGCCCCTTCTCTCCTGCATCTTTTCTCAGTACATTCACTGTGATGACCTATCTGGCTTCCTCTGATGATTCAACCCTGGCATCTTCCCATCCAGCACTGAATTATATACAATAAATGGAAAAAGTAATATTCTTAAAGGGGAAGTGGGAAAAAGTAATCCTTAGTACATATAATTTTAAAATTATTTTAGTCCCCAATATTGTGGCAATCAGTGTATTTTCAGGATCTTGCAAGATTTGGACTATTCGTCATTCTCATCCTGATTTCTATTCTTGCAAGTTTGGTCTCTGCTTTAAAACCGTGTACCACCATTTTAGGGACTTCCCTGACAGCTCAGTTGGTAAAGAATCTGCCTGCAATGCAGGAGACCCTGGTTCAATTCCTGGGTCTGGAAGATCCACTAGAGAAGAGGTAGGCAACCCACTCCAGTATTCTTGGGCTTCCCTGGTGGCTCAGCTGGTAAAGAATCCGCCTGCAATGTGGGAGACATGGGTTTGATACCTGGGTTGGGATGATCCCCTGGGGAAGGGAAAGGCTACCCACTCCAGTCTTCTGGCCTGGAGAACTCCATGGATTGTATAGTCATGGGGTCGCAAAGAGTCAGACACAACTGAGCGACTTCCCCTTTTACCACTATTTTAACCTCTGGGTGAATGTAAAAAAAATGCTTCTTTGCTCTCTGCCTTACCTTCTAATCCTCAGCAATAAAGACTCATAGCTGCAATACAATATGCCAGGATTTGAAGCTACTGATGTCTTTTTGGGGTGTTAGTCAGTTAGTCTTTTCTGAAAGAAAATTGCTTTAAGAAATAATGCTGGAAAGCAAATGTCAAGTCCAATAACAAAGCCCACATATGTGTAAAGTACTTTAATTCTGTAGCAAGTTCTAATATCCTCCTCAAATTGGCTAACCCTCATTCTCCAAACCTCCGCACTAACAGGCAGCTACACCGAGAGACATACTGAGCAGTGTCACCATCTGGTCGCTTTAATCTCACGAATATAGATTTCTTTTTCATTTTGAGGAACTCTACCCTCAAGGAAACTTGCAAATCTGAAGCATGAAAGTGCATCTCCAGGTTTGCTCAACCTTACAGTATTAAAAAGCGAAGAGATGTAACAGCATCAGTATTTCTTCCACTTCCTGATTCTGCCTCCACATTTTTCCATTTACTTCAATTCAGTAACTGTTTCTTAGGGCTTCCCAGGTGGCAGTGGAGGTAAAGAAGCCGCCTGCCAGTGCAGGAGACAGATGTGGGTTCCATCCCTGGGTCGGGAAAATCCCCTGGAGAAGGGCATGGCAACCCGCTCCAGTACTCTTGCCTGGAAAATCCCATGGACAGAGGAACCTGGCAGGCTACAGTCCACTGGACATGACTTAGCAAGTAAACCACAACCAGGGCATCTACACAGCACAAACCAGTCAAAGAATGAAACATCCATTGCTTCATTCTCAGAGCTCATCATGGTGCCTTGTACATACGACCCACTCATTAAATATTTGTTGAATGAATAAGTAAGTGGATGAATGGATGTGAGTGTGCATATAAAGTAAAGCTTTCTTAGCCACACGTGCCTATATGCAACCATCATGCAAAGGATATTTAACTTTAACTTTTTGCTTTTACTGCATGATGCTTGCTTAATTCCTGTTCCATCAAAGGTGAGGTATTAAGGTCTGAGAAACATAAGGGTGGGCAAGAGAAGATGAACTGGACTTCTGTGCCTCTGTGTTAAATATGTCTTACAGAAAGAAAATGCCTACCCAATGCTTAACTCAAATCCTTGTTATTCAAGTTTTTCCCTGACTTTTCCTTGCAACTTTCTTTTCTCTGCATGTATATGAAATAGAAAGCATATTCACTGGGTTTAAAAATCGAGGCTGCTCAGTGAAATAAGCCAGTTGCAAAAAGACAAATACTGTATGATTCTATTTCTATGAAGCATCTACAACAGTCAGATTCTTGGAGACAGAAAGCAGAATGGTGGTTGCTAGGCAGTGTGGGGAGGAGGGAATACAGAGCTGTTGTTTAATGTGTAGGGATTTTCAGTTTTACAAGATGAAAAGAGTTCTGGAGATTTGCTGCACAACAGTGAAGGTACTTAACACTTCTGAACTATATTCTTAAAAATGGTTAAGATACTAAGCTTTATGTTATGTGTATTTTACCATAATTTTCTAAAACGCAGATTTTTTTTACAGTAGGGCATCTTCCTTCTTGCCATTCACTGAGACTTACATTGCTAGCTGAGGTTGTCATAAAACTTCCTCTTATTCCCCAACACAGTAAGGAAATTATACAACAAAACTTTTAACCGCTGAAAAACAAGCTTTTTAAAACTCCCAAAGAAATAGGTTGTTTAATCAATTACATGCCTTAGTTTATTCACTTAAATTATGGAGCAGTGGGGGGTTGCTCCTCACCCTCTCTCCCGGCCTTGGAGATTTGGAGAAACACGACAAACCTCTTGTTTTCCTCCTTTGCATTTTGCTGTCTTTCCCCTGCAGGTCACAGTTTGCGGTGGATGTGCTGACCACGGCGTCCAGAGGGCTCGTGTTTTACACGGGCACTAGGAACTCCTTTATGGCTCTTTATCTTTCAAAAGGACGGCTGGTCTTTGCCCTGGGGGCAGAAGGGAGAAAACTGAAGCTCAAAAGCAAAGAGAAGTGCAGTGACGGGAAGTGGCACACGGTGAGCTCTGGGGCTGCCGTAGAACCTCCCCGGGGCCAAGTTCACTGCCGAGGAGCTGAAGACAGAAGTCTCAGCGTTCTTCCAGGCAGGAGGGCATGAGCACTGGGAGAGCACGTGTGGTCAGAGGCACCGAGCACCCCAGCATCTCGGCCCCAGAGACTCCTGCACGTGCCATGCACGGATGTCATCCTAGATGCCAAGATGGGCTTTCCTCTCTGCTTCTTCAGATCCTCCTTGCCTCACAGCTCTGTGGACTGCTCCTTGCTTGTACCCATCCTTGCCCCCTGGACCATGTCTCTCCTTCAGGACAATTTCCAGGTCTCCAGACCCTTCTCTGAGTCTGGAATGCTTTCTCTGGAGCACAGGTGTAAGGGCCCACACCCTCAGCATCTCAGCTCTTGCCTAAAGGCATCCCGGGGTTAAAGAAATGCAGTTTAAGGCAAGTGTGTACATGCATGCTAAATCGCTTCAGTTGTGTCTGACTCTTTGTGACTCTATGGACTGTAGCCCACCAGGCTCCTCTGTCCATGGAATTCTCCATGGCAAGAATACTGGAGTGGGTTGCCATTCCCTTCTCCTGGTGATCTTCCAAGTCAGGGATCAAACCCAGGTCTCTTGCATTACAAGCAGATTCTTTACAATCTGAGCCACCAGAGATGCAGGGTGAGGCAGGCCCAGGTCATTTAAGCACTGGATTAGGTGAGGATTTGGGATTTTATTCTGAGTCTCTGAAGCTTTTAGAGAATCTAAAACTTAAAAAAAAAAAAGCATTACATGATCAGCTTTATCTTTTTAAAACCCTCTTTAGCTGAAGCATTTATAAAGGAGCAAAAGTAGACCAGACGGATGCTGTTGCCTTTGGTTCAAGAGACCAAGGTGGAGGGGGAGAGAGTGGATGTGTCAGAAGGCAGAGCCCAGAGGGCCTCTTGACTCCTCTGGAAAGAGAGGAGTCAAGATGGAGTCCTGTGATTTTGGACCAGCATTGGGGTCAGTAGTGGAGATGAGATGGAGAAGATGTGGGGAAGGTGGGTGTGGCTGGGGAAGAATGGTTCTGTTGTGAATATCCTTTGATTGAGTTGCCTGTCTGACATCCAAGCCCAGGTGTCAGTAGACAGTGGAGGCCAGCAGTCACAGCTGGGCATCTACACTGGGGAGTCATTAGTGGATAGTCTGGTAGCCAGGAGGTGGCAGAGTCCACACCAGAGTCCAGGGATCCTGACTTTTAGCAAAGAGTTGAAAACACTTGCTCCTCCTGTTAGACAAGAAGTAGCCCTCCGTCTCTTCTCCAGGACCCCTGCTCGGAGGAGCGTGTGGCTTTCCCTGTCTCAGCTCTGCACAAACTCTTCCTTCCCCTGCGTTGCACGGATGTGTGTTTATTTATGATCCTTTGACTCTTCAGTTATTTGTCTTTTGTCTAAGTTTCCAGGCCAACTATTTATTTTTGTTCACTTTTGGGAATCTTTTTTTAGTTCATGTTTTAAGCTCACTCTGGTTAATATCTAACATAATCTCACATAATAAGGATGATGAAAAACACTAGGGAAAAAAATCTCTGATTTTTTTCAAAGCTACTTGAAGGGACAGAAATATTAAAAAAAAAAAATTCCTGTGACCACTATTAAACTACAATGCCAGATGTTGAAGGTAAGAATACAGTTAACTTATTTTCTTTATCCTTAAGGTGACATTTGGGCAAGATGGAGGCAAGGGGCGCTTGGTTGTGGATGGCCTGAGGACCCGGGAGGGACGTCTGCCTGAAAATTACACCATCAGCCTCAGAGCACCAGTTTACCTGGGATTGGCTCCATCAGGGAAACCAAAGGTAAATAGGGATGCTTCAGAGCCATAGATGAGAACAAGTCACCTTCAAAGTTTTATAAGATATTCAAGAGTATCAAAATTCTTTAAATTATTTTAAAAACTGAATCTGTGTTTTAATGTTATTTAACATGTTATAAGATAAAATTATCCCAAGAACCAAACTTGGGGAAAATTTGGACTAAGGAGAAAGTCACCAGTCTGTCTGTCCCCAGAAGGAGGGGCACGTGCCTGGATTTGTCAGGTTCAAAGGCTCCGATGGGGCTGTGGCCACAGGGCTGAGCTCTGCGGGTGCCCCTTCCCTCGTCTCCTCCAGGAGGCCAGAGCGCTCACTGCCCTGGTTACTTGGGGTGGCCAAACTCACCCATCACTATTCTCCCAGATTTGCCCTTTTTGCTCGTAAAGTGAAGATGGGCCTGTCAACAGCTCCAACCCAGACACTGTCTTCTGACAAATTCGCTACCAGACGCTCAGCCCCTCCTGCCCCTTCCCTCTCCACGGGCACCCATTCTGGTGTGAGGGAAGGGATCAGATTCCATTCTGGGCCGGAAATGGGCATAATTAAAGCAGGGCACTTCTGCCAGAGTGGGTTCTAGATGGTCAGGCTGACCTGGCCTTGCCTGTGATGTCTCCACAGGGCTCATCCTGGCCCACTTGAGTTTTACACTGGGGTTTGGGCCAAAACTCCAGCCAGTCAAAGTACTGTTTTACTCTTTGTATATAGTAACTGTTATATATGTATCATAAGTAATATGTAACATAATTTATGTATTATCTACTACATTATAATGTATAACATATAATCTCTACATATATAATGTATACTGTATAATCTATACACATATAATGTAACACATGTATAATGGATAACATGTTAATTGCTAAGGAGGTTACTCACTGCTTGTTTTCCTGCAACCTCTGTGCCTGTTTCTCAGAGAAATCACAGGACGGGGTGGCAATTCAGGGGCACAATTTGGATGCTCTTTGACTTGGATAAATCACACTCAACATCCTAAAGTCTGAGACAACCAGTCACACCCCACTTACAACATCCTTTACATGCAAGGTCCCATTTGCAGCCTTCGTTCACCCCAAGGATGGAAACCACTGGATCTCCCTCCTCCACCTCCTTTCAAAGGGCAGGCAACATCCAGTCCCCCAGTGGCTACCTCAAGACACACAGTATCTTTGGAGATTCCGAGTTAGGTTATGGCCTGTCCTGGAGGCTCTGAGCATCATGTCAGATATAAGCTCATCATTGTTTATGACAGCAACTCTGAAGAAACTAGAAATTTCACAGGAGGCCCAATCAGTACTCTGTTGTTGACACCGATACCACATGCCTCTAGAATGCCATGGGATTCCCTTAAAATGATCATGTCTTGCATCTGTCATGTAGGATGTCAGAGTCCTAAAGGCATTTGCTCCACAAGAGTGCTGAGGGATTTTATTCAGCGATTTATTAACTTTTTGGAGAATTTTGTGGAAGTTCCAGCTCCTCTCCCCGGCAAGATGCACTGGACTTCTGATATATAATTTAAGGGATCAGAGAACCCCAGAAGCTCATCCTTAGGCCCCAAGTGAGGAGCCCTTGTTCCAGGCCCGCTTTGGGCAGCTGTGGGGCTCCACGCAGGCCGTTTGATCCCATCCCTTGAGTCTGATCTTAACCCCTCCAGCATTTGTGATTCATTGATGGTGCACTGGGCCCAACAATGTAGGAGCTTTTTTACACTTTATTATTTTGGGAATGTTTTGGCCTCTTTTTTCAGTCAGCTGCCCTGCCTTAAGCTATCACATGGGCTTATGAAACTCTAAAGTATTTTGTACCTGCAAAGAGATAGGGAGATCTGTGAACTGCAAGGTGGAAATTCCCCCTTGTTGCAGCTCTGATGGTGGCCTGGGGTCAAGTCACCCCCTCTATTCTTTCTTCTTAAACTTTTTATTTTATATTGGTGTATAGCCAATTAATAATGTTGTGAGAGTTTCAGGTGAACAGGATAGGGGCTCAGCCATACATATACATGTAGCCATTCTCCCCTAAATTCCCCTCCTATCCAGGCTGCCACAAGACATGAGGCATAGTTCCATGTGCTATACAGTAGGTCCTTGTTGGTTATCCATTTTAAATATAGCAGTGTGTACAGGCTCATCCCAAAGTCCCTATCTATCCCTTCCTCCCAGCAGCCATACGTTTGTTCTCTTAAGTCTGTGAGTCTCTTTCTGTTTTCTAAGTAAGTTCATTTGTGTCATTTCTCTTTAGATTCCACATATAAGGGATGGCATACAGTTTTTCTCCTTCTCTGTCTGACTTACTTCACTCAATATGACAATCTCTAGGTACATCCATGTTGCTGCAAATACACCCCCCTCTATTCTTGATTCCACACCAGGTAGCCCTCTCCACCACCCCTGCTCTCTGCACCAACACCCCTTGGTTTGGCAACACCTTCAAGCTTTAACCACCCACGAGACACCTGGTATCCATGTTTTCTGGCACCGTGGAGGGAGCCAGAATGGACCAGTCAGGCCCACCTGACTCTTGGAAGCAGGATGGATGGATCCCTCTCCTTCCTGCTTTTTTGAACAACTGCCCTCGCCCTTGACCTTGGCTGCTTGTGCATTTCCGGGAGCTGTGGGTCATGCCGTTTGCTTTCTCTTCTGCTTGGTTGCAGAGCCTCCCCCAGAACAGCTTTGTGGGCTGCCTGAGGAACTTTCAGTTGGATCTGAAACCCCTGGAAACCCCTTCTGCAAGTTTTGGGGTGTCTCCTTGCTTGGGCGGCTCTTTAGAGAAAGGCATTTATTTCTCCCAAGAAGGAGGTCATATCATCCTAGGTAAGGAGCAGTTTGGAAGCATTTCAATCTTCATAGCCTTGATTCTGAAGAACTTTTATCCTTTTCCTTGAATTATGATGGGTTACCTATTTCTTTAATTTTCTTTTGAAAGCTAACTCTGTGTCACTGGGGCCAGAATTTAAGCTTGTTTTCAGCATTCGCCCGAGAAGCCTCACTGGAATTCTCATTCACATTGGAAGTCAACCCGGGGAGCACTTATGTGTTTATATGGAAGCAGGAAAGGTACGTGGTCCTCTGATGACATGGGAGAATGTGTGAATCTATATTAGAACCACATTCTATTTCTGGAGACCAAGGTAGGTGAAGTTAAGGTAGACTGGAATCTGATCTTTTATTTAAGAGACATAACTTCAGGGCTACTCTTTTGGTTTAGCAAGTAATTTGGTCATCATGTTTTCTGTTCTTCATCTTTGAAGTTGGGCAGATGCAAACAGGCTGGGCTGAATTTCAGCTCCACCACTTAGTTAAATGGCCCTAGGGAACATACTTAACCTCTTTCAGACTCACTTTCTTTATCTTTAAAAAGAGAATAGGACTTCCCTGGCAGTCCAGTGGTTAAGACTGTGACACTTCCGATGCACGGGATGCAGTTTCAGTCCCTGGTCAAGGAACTAAGATCCCACATACTGTGTGGCATGGCCAAAAAAATGAAAAACTAAATTAAAATGTGGAGAATAATGCTTATACCTGAGGACTTTCGTCCAACAGAAGAGAAGCTGCTGTATACTCAAAACAGTTTCATTTTTCTCACCTCCCCTTCACCCTTGTCACGTGTCTCCTTTTATTCATAAGGGCAGGACCAGGGTTCATGGGATGGATTTTCTCTCCAGCTGTCTACACTGTGTTACACCCAGGCCCATGGCCCTGTGTCCTCTGGGTCAGTTTCAGATTCCCCTGATCCTGTCTACACGGCTCACCGGCCTTTCTGGTCCCTGCAGTCAGGCTGGTCACTGGGTTTGTATCCAGCCTTCCTTCAGCTTTTCCTGGATTCCTTCTTCAGTGTGTGCTTCTGCTGCACCATCCTTCCCATCACTCACAGGCCTACTCCATATCTTATTTCTACCCCCCACTTTTACCTCTTACCTTTTTAAAAAATATTTATTTATTTATTTGGCTGCGCTGAGTCTTAGCTGTGGCATGAGAACTCTCAGTTGCGACATGTGGGATCGGACCCAGGCCCCCTGCATTGGGAGCATGAAATCTTAGTCACTGGACCACCAGGGAAGTCCATCTCTTGCCTTTTCAAAAAAATATCTTTAAAACCAAATTCTTCCAGGAAGCCTCTCTCAATTAAGACCTTAAGGCAAAGATTGATAATAACACCATTTTCTTGTACCTCTATCCTTCCAGTTTATTAAACATGAGGGAAAACTCTCAGGATAAAATATAGTAGCCCAAACTCTTGGATGCTTTTTTAAATTAAGCTGCAGCTTGAAGTGTGAGTGGGCCTCTCGTGGGCCAGAGGAGCGAGCAGCTATGCTTGAGCTGGTGCAGACAAGCCTCACTTTTCATGGGAGGGGTTGGGAAATGCCGCCAGTGAGACCTTCCGGGTAGGAAAAAATCCGCCCCCCCCCGAAGCGAAATCCAGACCCAGTAACCTTCCTAACTAACAGCTGTGATGCTGTTTAGCTTGAAAATTGCCCAAGAAGAGGCTACACTGTCTGAGGACCTGCAAATTAAGTGTAAATTATTTATCCACATGCTTATTTCAGTCCTCTCATTTCCTTGACCTTGATTCAGCCCATGGAGGATCCTGGCCCAGAGTGGGAATGTGGGATTCTGCACAATAGCACATTGAGTGCCTGACCCTGGCATGTGCCCAGAGCAAACTCGGTCGGTTAGCCTGCTGAATTCCTTGGATGAGAACCCTCCTGAAGTCCTGTGTTCACGGAATTATATAAGTGGCTGGCTTTTTCATCAGAGTGTAGGCCTCAGCCAGCACTTTTGCATTCCAAATTTTACATGTCCTCCTAAACAATCCTACTGTCACATACTAATAAATCAGGCAGGTCTTGGAGGCTAATCAGTAACCTTTGAGTCAATCTGATGGGATCGGTGTTGAGGGTCAGAGGAAAGGCTCCTTGCCTTTGGCATCAGGTTCAGGCCAGGCTCTGGGTTTGAAGTTCACATGCCTGAAAGGGATGCTGCAGACAGATGCTTATGAAGCCTTGGCCCACATGTGACCAGATGGAATGGGAGGGGGCACCTATATTTCAAGGGCTCCTGGGAGGTCAGGGTGCAAGGGCTGGGAAGGGACATGGCAGGACATGGGCTCCACCTGCCTTTCTGAAGGAAATAGGAAAATGCATGTGTGTTCCAGGTCACGGCCTCTGTGAGCAGTGAGGCAGGTGGGGTCTTGACATCGGTGACACCCAAGCAGGCTCTGTGCGATGGACAGTGGCACTCGGTGGCAGGTATGATGTTCAGAAGCCTGTTGTTCACAGGCTTAAACAGTCTCCCTTCCCATCCAGACTTGAATGTCCCAACGTGGTCTTGGTTCATCCGTCCATTAGCATTTGACCAGGGTCAGCCGACCAGGCTAACATTCTGGGAACCTGTCCCTTCTCATTCAGCCCCAGGCATATTTACATAATTCTTGGCTCCAGTTCTCCGTAACACTTTGAGGGTTTTTGTTTGTTTGTTTTTAAGGCTAGCAAACTGATAAGCTGTGCTTTTTTCAAGGTAGGATAACATTGTGACTTAGATTTTGGCTCTAAAGTCAGAAGTGACCAAGTTCAGATCTCAGTTTCAGCCCTTACCTATGAGACCTTGGGCAAGCTACTTAATTTCTCTTTATCTTCAGCTTTCTCATCAGCACAATGGAGATAAAAATAGTGATACACCTGCCAGGGTTGTGAAAGTTAACGGTATAATGCATATAAAGTACTTAGCAGTGTCCAATATATACTAAGTACTCAGTAAATGTTTGCTCTTACTATGGTTAAAGTTCATTGTTGGGTTATTTTTTCAACAACTATTTAATATTAATGCCGAAGATTTAGACAAACCACTTGACAGAGAACAGGCACAGCCTCTCAAATTGAATCTGGTATTTTATGAATAACTTGCACATATGAGTTTGGTGATATATTAAACTGTATGGGCTGGAATACCAGGGACTTCCTTGGTCGCTCAGATGTTAAAGAATCTGCCTGCAATGCAAGAGGGCTGGATTCCCTCTCTGAGTTGGGACAATCCCCTGGAGAAGGGAATGGAAACCTACTTCAGTGTTCTTACCTGTAGAATCCCATGGACAGAGGAGCCTGGTGGGCTACAGTCCATAGGGTTGCAAAGAGCGGGACACGACTGAGCAACTAACACTTTCTTGGCTAAAAGCTAACTCCATTGCAGTTGGTTAAGGTTTTTAATATGGGAGGAGTTTTATTTAGAGGGTCAAAAGCCACTGTCTTTGGAGTCAGTTTTCAGAAGTCAGTCAGTGTCTTCTTGGAAGGAACCAGAGATCGTGGGAAAAGCTTTGGCTTCTGCAGCACAGGAAACCAGGTCTTAAATCCCAGCTCATTCAGTTTATAACAACTCCATCTTGTCAAGCTCCTCAGTGACTGAGGGAGATAGTCTTTTATCTGGGAAACGAGTGATAATACCTTCCTCACGGATTCATTTTCAGGATTAAATTCTGTCATATATGTGGAAACACCTAAACAGCACCTGGTGGGGAGAAATTAGTTGAATTTGTGTTAAGGTCGATGGAATTCCCTCGAGCAGCGCTCCTTCGGGTCCGACAGGAGTGAGTGAGAAAGGAGCCAGTGTTGACGTGCTGGTGTAGACGTTACACAGTGGGCAGGGCTCTCCTCAGCTGATAGATCTGACCGCCTCCTTTCCCTCCAGTCACCATAAAACAACACATCCTGCACCTGAAGCTGGACGCAGACGACAGCTACACGGCCGGACGACACCCCTTCCCGCCGGCCCACCCACTGGAGCGTCTGTACATTGGAGGCGTGCCAGGTAACTCTGTGCCGGCTTCTACACCATGTCTCTTGTAAAGTCCTAACATGTCCATCTTAACCCAACAAGCGCGATGCGCCCCTCCTCGTGGCTCATCAGCAGGGCACCCGTCGGCTGGCCTGTGTAGACAGTGAAGCCCTTTCTCCAGATTATGGGGAAACCCAATTGCCAGCAACAGACCCATCTCCCAGCAGCCCAGGCCCCATGGCTGGGCTCCCTAATATCCCACACTGATGATTTGTTTATCAACCTCTCTGAAGAGGCCACATGAACCTAGAAGCCTGGTATCATAAAGAATCAGACAAGGACCTCAGAAACTGGTCTCTCCCCCTCCAGGCACTGAGTTATGGTGAGTTATTAAGCCTGGTGGAGCCAGAATGGGGGACTCAGGTAGGTTGAGAGAGAGCCTCGTCAGTCTTCATTGTTTTATGTCCCTCCAGATGGTCTGGTTGTTAATTTTATAGCCTTCCATGACCCAGGAAAAAACACTAGAGCTCGGAGCCACTGTCTATTGATTTGGGCTGTGGAATCTCCTTCTTTGAAAGATGTGAAGAGTAGCCTTGTGGTTGATTTATCACAGCAGCATGTGTGTTGGGTGCCCACCTAAGGCAGGAGATGATGGGGTGGCCTGAGACCTGGGGTACCTTTTGCTCTAAGAAGACTGTTTCTCACTCCACTAAGAATGCATTCACTCCACTAAATATGAATGGTCCATCAAAGGCACCTCCTTTTGCTTTCAGGGAATCTGAAAACCCCGAAGCTTCCCGTGTGGACATCCTTTTTTGGCTGCCTGAAGAATATTCAAGTCAACCACATTCCTGTCCCTATCACTGGAGCCGCAGAAGTTCAGGGTACTGTCAGTCTGAATGGCTGTCCTGACCACTGACTCAGACTCCCTCACACAGCAAGGAAGTTCATCTCCAGAAACACTAATGACCCAGCACCCCTCCCTCTCCCCTCTCAAGGTCGTTCTTAACTTCAGACACCATCCGAATGTGTTTAATAGCAGATCTCATTTTTAATTCCAACCATGCGTACCCATCATTTTGGCATTCAGTGCTGCGTATATATTTTAAATCAAAATCCCATTTCTTAAAGAGAATCAACAAATTGTTACATGCTTCTGGTAATACCATTTTCCACTAAAAGTTCAGTGTCTTTTAAAGAACATTATTTTCCACTTGTTAAAAAAAAAATAAATATCTTTCAAAGCACTTTAAAATTACAAAAATTTTTACATGCGTCAAGATGTTATAATTTCTGGGGTTGAATAAATGCAATGTACTCTTTAAATTATGATGTTTTATCAACATAAAACAATTGGCTTGATGGTCATTATTAATTGTATTAATTCTTTAGCACCTGTTCAGTGTGCTACATACAACACAGTCTTCTACAAATAATTATCAAACACATGCTAGTGAGGTACTGTGTGTGCTCACTGTTGGGTCTGCAGTCACATATGAGGAGTAGTTACTTCTTTGAAGGAATATGCAGTCTGACAGAGGAGACACATAATACTCACAAAATGGTGAGTAACAAACTGAGTTAATGAACCTGTAACTACACATGACTTCCCACATACAGTCTGCTACCAGCCAAGTCTAGATTATGATTTTCAATTCCTTGTGGGTGAAAACTTTCTAGTAGAGGAGCTGAGAGGGATGTACCATGTGTACTATAATTAAAACTTTGCATGAGAAGCTAATGGAAGTCAATGGGAAGTAGGAATCTAGTTTTATCTACAAAATAACGAAACCATGCACTAGGCCAATACTTTTACCCAGCACCACTCCACTAGCAAAGAAGGTTATGTAAGCATTTCTGTATCTGCTGCATCATATTTGCTCATCAGGATTAAAATAGCAATTCTAAAATTCATATATAATAATCCTGTGTGGTATGCTTACAGCTACCTGCCCTCTCCTCTAACACTGAGGCACATTCCCTTCAACCCTGTGCTCTTCCATGACCCTCACACTGCAGTTCCACCATGTCTATGCCAATATATCACTGCACACTGCAGTTTCTACCCACCATATCTATGCAGACATGAAATATTCTCCTGGAGAGGTGGCAAGGTGCCCATCACAGGAGGTATTCAACACAAGCTGCTCTGGTGGGTCAGAGGTTGAATGTCATGACCTTAAGTCATATGCTTTCGAAAAAACATTGATTTTCATATGAAAACTCCCAGTAGGTGATGAACGCCTGGACACTAAGTCTGCGTAAAGAACATCCATTTTACCTGCCTTTAGCTGGTCTACACTAAGTGGCTGATTCTCTTTCCTGGGTTCCTGGTGGTGATCTGACTGAATCTGCAAAGTTATTCATTGGTAAATGTATTTTAAAGGGGCAATTGAATCTTCATTAATACCACTGCTTTTCCCTCCATTTTGTAGTAGCTCGAAGAACAGCCGTCCATCCGTATTTGCTGAGTATAATCCCAGCCACCAGAAGGCAACAGAGGTTATCACAGATGGAATTAGAGGCCGAAAGCCCTCAGTGTGCCTTTGCTCAGATTATAAATGGGTGTTTTCTGAAAGGAGTGCTACAGCTCCTCACCTGGACCATGATGGGAATGATGTGTAAACTGTGAAGTGCCGTGCAGATGCCATTGCTGGGGTGAGAGGCTTAGGGACCGGCAGGATCACCGGTGGTTGACCTGTTCACGATGGGTCTGTGGTTGGTGTCATTTTGATCCCGGTGAATGGGGCCTGTATTGGAGAAAACCAGCTTGCATCTCCCCAGGTAAGTCAACCCAGGGGCGTCCAGTGACTGTGGAGTGATCCTGTGCCTTCATGGTCTGTCTCCTTCACCATTTCCCAGGGCACCTCTTGACCTCATTTCTCAAGACATGGGGTGGCTGGGTTTTGGCCACACTCCTGATAACCCCAAGTCAGAGGACAGTGGCCCCTGGCAGGACATGCTGACCTTCCCATCCTCCCTGAAGGGAAGTAACCTCACTTCCCCAGAGACCTTTGACTTAGATCCTCTTTCCTCCTCCCCACCCCCACCCAGCGCTGCCCTGCCCAGAACCCCAAACCCTGCCTGCTGCCCTTCCTCACCACCTCATCCACTCCCCTGTCTTCCAGCTCCCCAGTTCTCTTTTCACTCATTCCAAATTTGGGTGGGTCTGTGCCAGCCCCAGAAAGACCTGATTCTCAGGAATGAGAACTCAANACACGACTTAGCACACATGCAGGCGAAATTCTTAGAAGTAAGAGTCAAAGGATATGAGCCTTCTTGTTATTAGCTATTACCAAATTGCTTTCTAAAAGGTTTTATCCCCATACATCCAAATCTTTTTTTTAACTGACTTTAGCCCCATGCATGCATGCTCAGTTGAGTCTGACTTTCTGCATCTCCATGGCCTGAAGCCTGCCAGGCTCCTCTGTCCATGGGATTATCCTGGCAAGAATACTGGAGTGGGTTGCCATTTCCTCCTCCAGGGGATCTTCCCAACCCAGGAATCAAACCCTTGTCTCCTGCATTGGCAGGCAGATTCTTTACCACTGAGCCACCTGGGAAGCCTGACTATAGCCCCTGACATCACTAAATATAAACTCACTAAGATCAGCTCATGGTTTTCAAGACCGGGAGCAGCAGTTGGACCAAGTTAGCTTGCAGAGACTTAGCATGCTCCCGGCTCATTTGAGCCAAATGCACACCACCTGGAAAGAAGGGGCAGCTGATGGGCTTGGATGAGTGATGCCACAAAATGCCGTAAGAAATCAAGCAGTTCACATGTTTCTAGAAAGGAGCCAGGTACTTCTCTGAGGCTTGAAGAGTGGACTTTGCTTGCTGAGCAGTGACCAAACCTCAGTCATAGGTTTTTTCTGGCAACTTCTTCCTCCCCGACCTTGTAGGTTGTTGTTTCATTTGTTTTGTTTTTAAATCACATCATTGCTTTATTTCATGTATTTAGTTCTCTCCTTATTTAAATTTATTTTTTAATTGGAGGAAAATTGCTTTACAGTGTTGCGTTGGTTTCTGCAATAGGAATCAACTCTAAGTATACATATGCTCCCTCCCTCTTGAGCCCCCCTCCCCCTACGTCACCCCTCTAGGTTGTCACAGAGCGCCAGGCTGGACCGCGAGTGTCACATAGCAGCTTCCCCTTAGTTATCTATTTTACATATGATGTCCACCTTATAAGTTTGCCTTCTTTGTGATTGAAATTTTCATAAGGATTTGTTCAGGAAAACTTCAGGGCAAAAGTTCAAGTCCTCATTGCCCCGCCCTACCTGCCACAGAAATCTAATTAACATGAATGATCATGATAATAACAGTGGTGGCAGGTGACAGGTGTATCATGGTTCCAGTTTTTTAATTTGCTAAACAAGATAATTTCTCTGCATAAAAATTCTAGCATAATGTCTGCATGTCTTTGGAAAGTGGAAGTGGTAGTGTTAGTCATTCAGTTGTGTCCGATTGTTTGCGATCCCATGGACTGTAGCCTGCTAGGCTTCCCAGATTGAAATTCTTCAGGCAAGAATACTGGAGTGGGTTGTCATTTCCTTCTCCAGGGAATATTCCTGACCCAGGGATCGAACCCAGGTCTCCTGCATTGCAGGCAGATTCTTTACCATCTGAGCCACCAGGGAAGCCCTTTGTAAGGAAGGCAGAGATAAAATTGGAATAGCTCTGTAAATCATTATCAGAGTGAGAAATAATTATTCTCCCAGAGTCAAGGGCAAGGTCCTGAGATGAATACTATTTACTGAAAATGCTTTTTCTTCTTTTGCTCTTAAAGACTTCTCTGACCCCAGAATGCAAAGTGTATCTTTCCACTGCCAGAAGGTTTTATTCCCCATAAATTTTGAATGTGGGGTTTATTTTGCTTGACACCGAGTCCATGATAAAATGAGATTGGGGAGTTTTGGGCTGGGGGGAAAGGCCAGAACTTGCAGTCTTCATGAATGTACATGATGATGGCACAACACACACTTACTGATTAAGCCATCTCTGGCTCAAAAGACTTTTGCTAATTAATCAATAATGAACTTCATACGCAGGGAGCATACACTCCTGGACAGTTACAGTGGAGCTGGGAGTCTGGTGACGTGGCTTGGCTTGTGGTCCATTCCCAAGGCAGATCTCTGTAGGAATTTACTATTCCTACAGGAAATATGCTTCCTCAGAAATAAAGTGTGTATTCTGGGAAATAAATGACTGCATTACCTAGCATTCAACTGCAGTGCTGTCAACAAAACAAGATCCTTCATGTCATGCTTTTACAGTGTCTTTGCTGAAGGGGAACCCCTGACAGGGAATAAAGTGTCTTGTGGGATTTCAGGGCTGTTCATCAGACCAAAAAGTCCAGCTGCTGCTGTGATGGCTCCTGACAGGCTGGGACCCCAGAGGGTTTGTCTCTGGCTCCACTGTTACCCGTCATCCATCTTGTACCCCTTCCCCTCCATGAGAACAAAACCCCTCAGGAAAGCACCCCCCACCTTTAGGAAAAACCTTTGCTCTTGGAAGTCACTTGGCTTGGAGCCACTTCTTATTCCCTTAATTTTATAATCTCAGTTGCATTTCAAGCATGCACACTTTCTGTCATGTGGTTTCGAGTATTCTAGAAGTTCAAGGGACAAAAGTTACGTCTTTTATTTCAGATGTCTTCTCTGAGAGTTAACTGAGATGATGGACATAAAACTGTTATAAGACTACCATTGTTAATTTTACCACTTTTAAGAACACTGTAAAACAGGGAGCGGAGGTATCCAAAGTTGGATACTTTGTTATGGCTTTAGTTACTCTATGAAAGGAATTCCGGTGTCCGAAAGTATGAAAATTGGGGTGCCTCTGAGAAAGCGTTGACCCTGAGCAGGGTGATGGTACCTCACTGCATCCAGACCTCCCTGAAAACCCCATTTCTTGTGCCCCAACTTGGACAAGTGTCTCCTGCCTTTAGCCTTTACCTTAATTAGCTGGAGTCTCTGTAACAAAACACTGCAACCTGGGTGGTTTAAGCAACAGAAGTATATTTTCTTGCAATTCTGGAGGCTAGAATTCCACGATCAAGGTTCTTACCTGTTTGGTTTCTGGTGAGAGACCTTCCTCACTTGTACGTGGGCACTTTCTCACTGTGTCTTCATGTGGCCCTTCCTTGGGGTGTATACGTGGTGGGGAAGGCAGAGAGCCCTTTGGTATCTCTTCTTATAAGGTTAATCCTCTCTGATCAGGGCCCCACTCATTTTTTAAAAATCCTTTATTCAT